TATTAATAAATAATAAATACGCAAAAATTAAAAAAAAATTAAATAAATTTTAATATAATAAATTAATCGATAATTTTATATATACGATTTAATTAAAATAAAAATTTAAATAATAATAATAATAATTATATATATTTTTTTTAAACTTTATTAAAAAAAATAATATATATTATTATAATTATATTATATTTTAATATTTTATTATTATAAAAACGAAAAAATAAATTTTTTATATTAAATATAATTTTAAATTAATTTTATTTTATTATTATAAGAATATACAACGTTAAATTTATTTATAAAATAATTTTTAGTCCTTTAATTCTTTAAGCAATTTATATTTAATATAATCCCGTTAACGACGGGAAACCTTATATATAAAATTAAATTAAATTTAATTTTATATTAAATTATAAAAATTTTAAATTCGGGAAGGTAAATCCGAACCGTTATTAATTTTATATTAAAAAAGCCCCGAATTAAATTATATTAAAAATTTAATTTAAATCTAAGCTATATATAATATTAATTTTTTAGGCAGCGAGCGGAGGTGCCTTTATCGTTTTTATATTTTATATTTTATTTTAATTTTTTGCGTATAATTTTAAATTAATCTTTATATATTTAATTTTATATAATATTCGCAGCTTTTACGTAATTTCCGGATTTATTTCCGTTTTTTTATTTTTTTATAATATTCCGAATTATCGGAAAATATTTTAAAATTATTTATTAGCTTAATATATTTTTAATATAAATTTTAATTAGTTTTTTATATAATTATATTATCCGAAATACGAAAGGCTAAGGTTTTAGAATTCGTTAGTTATATTTAATATATAATATAAATTTAGTTTAATTTATATATAATTTATTTATTTTATACGTAATTTATACGTATAATTTATATTAGGCCGGGCCGTCGCAAATAGCTATATATTGCAAATTTAATTTTTTTATATAATTTAAATAAATCGGTTTTTATAAAACTAAACGAAGACTATTTTTAATTTAGTCGTTTTATATTCTAAAAGGTGAAGTAAAAATCCAAAAGTTTTTTAATTGAAAGTAATACGAATTATTAGTGAATATGATGTATTATGACCTCCCCTGCCACACAGGGGATCGCCAGAAGTCGATCGAGGCTGGCGGTATCTTTGCACTGCAATATTACCTCGTCAATAACTGCTTGTAGGCCAATGGCCCTCCTCGTCAATTCGAATGAAGACAACGTCGCATGTGTCCAAGGTACTATGTCTGCCGAGCGGGCAAAGTCCGCAGGTGTACTGGCCAAAAACCCGCATGGACCGGAATCATGGTCGTCCTCCTGCCACCAAGCAAAGATTGACTCATCTGTTGTGTCGTTAAGAATCTCTTCCTGCAGTCGCCTGAATGCTTTGACCAGGCCTTCTCCGTATATCAATGGCATGTTGACATCAAATATTCCAAGGAGACAGTACGCCTTGTCCTCAGGCCGCTTGGTTGTGCGTTTCGAAGCCCAAGACATACGGCAAGCGAGACTGGCGGATGCCAGAGTCTTCTCCCCGCTCAAGTAGGCCTCTCCAATTGATGTGATCTGTGAAAGCTGCCGACAAAGTCCTGCTTTGGTCCCAAGCTTGTCCCAGGAAGAGGACACAAAGATAACTTCCTTGGGGGCTAAAAGCTCCTGAAGCGTCCAGCCGCGAGAGAACCATGTGCTCTTGGAAAGATCGGACTGTTCCTCGGCAATATCATCAACCGTTGACACGTCAGAGAGAAAAGCGAAACAGACGACCGATTCCTCGTACCAGGGTACATGGAATTTATGGCCTCTGAAAGCTCTGCACTACTGGTCTTATCGATGCAGCATGTGTCTACCCATATGTACTGAAGATTCTCCAGACCATGCTCCTGTGAATACTTCCGCGTATATTCACACGCCTTCTTGACCTTTTGATATCCGCTCTTCTGGGCGACGGCAACTTGTATTGGGGGCTCCATGTCGCCCAAGACTATCTCTTGCCCTTCTTCCCAGCGATGGGATAGTATCGCATAGGGTGTGATAGCCTCATCAATCTCTACAATCGCGAGACTCTCCACGTCTACTACCCTCATTGTTCGTACTGGGGCGTTCGCAAAACGGAGGGGAACGAAATTTGAGATTGATTGAATGCGAGTACAATCACAGGTCGACAGAGTGAGTTCTATGGGCGGCCTCCAGACAGCAGGGAGATCAAAAATTGTGGAAGAAAGGAGAAGGGATCAAATAGGAACGGCTGGTGAGATGCAGTCATAGTTGGTGAGTTGTAGTCAGAGTCAAGGCGCGGCAGTGGGGCTGAGCAAATGCATCTAGGTCAGACATCGATCCTGCAGGCATGTTCTGATTGGCGCGTTTCGCTCGGAACATTCTTGCTTTCTATTTTGAGTATCTAATTCTATTTCATTCATTAAAACTTAGTAAATGCAGCCTGTGTCGGGCTGAACACTGTAATCTGAGAAGTCAAGATTAATAAAGACTTGAAAGAATATCATTCTAATTAATGGTTATTATTGACCAGATCTCTTTCTAGTCCTTATTGACCCTTGCTGGTCCAAATCGCATATTCTTCTCTGGGGCGCCAGTATCACATCCAAACAAGGCACCACTTTATTAATCAAAACCTGCCGTGTTGCTTGCAGAGCCTCCAAACAGTCCGCTACTAAGACTGGCGTTGGATGTATGGGTGCTAGTGGAAGAAAAGCCAGAGTGCGCGGTAGCTGGAGTGATCACAAAGGCTGAATTGCTTCCAAATGTGCTCCTTGATGTTGATGTTGTTCCATTGGTCGCAAAGGGCTCGAACAACGTTGAGCTAGTCCCGGGGTTTACTCCAATCATCTTATCAGGCGGTGGAGTATCATTTGAGGAGAAAGAATCGCCCATGTAGGTCAGAACAGGACATCTCTTGGTTGACAGAAGCGTTTTACTTTGCCTTTTCGGAAAGCGGCGTGAACTACGGTGGTTCTCAAGTGACTGAGAGTTAGCCAGCGAGAGAGATCCACGTAAACAGTCATTCGAACTTAGTGAGGTCTGAAGCATGGTTGGAGCTATTGTTCGTGTGTCGCAAATTCTTGAAAGAGTCAGGAAGTATTATGCACTGGTCAGAAATACCTATAGCTCTCTTGCTGATGCCCAGGAAGACATGCTTTATACGATGGACTCGATTATCATTCCGACATTACCTACAGAAACTGTCGTACTGACGTAGTCAGTACCCACCGCAGATCACCTGCGTGGGTATATAGTCGCTCTTCAGCACCTCTCTTTTGTAGACTAGAGATCAACTCAGACAACTTTCAATGCTTCCTCGATCATCTCGTCTTCAGTTCCCCCTTCACACATCGGCTCAGGTGAGAGAAACACATACTCTCACAAACTTATGGGGGGAAAATTGATTGCCTGAAAGGTTGACGTGTCCTTTTGCAAGGGTTTGAAAGCAGCTAGGACTTGAAAGCTGGCGATAATAGGAATTCAACAGAAAGACATCTCTTTGTCATTCGAGGCTGGGGATTGGAACTCTGATGCTGCTCAATGTCTGTGATGGATGGCCTCGAATCGACGTGCAAGATTGGTGCCTTTGAGAAGCAATAAATGTCACCTCTAGCAACAATCATTGCCTTCAATAGCTTGACATGTGAAGAAGCTCAACAAGAGACCTTTGCAAGCGGTGTCAATGTGCTTATAACTAGGCCCGCCCAGTTTTCAAAAATAGCTGCGCTGCCAAAGGATTAATCAAAATGTGATAAGAAGCTCGTGATACACCTATTACGATTTATCACTCAAGTAACTGTGAATGACATTAGTGACTCCGAATCCATCCTACTACCGTTATGATATCAAGTATACTCTTATCGAACTTGCCAAGGAAATGAAAGATATTAAAAAAAAGAAAAAGAAAATCAGACGAACCGCACGGTACGCAGATTGCCAAGTCTCAGCTAGTAGTATCTTTAAATACCTATACTCAGACTTCACTGCTTGGCGAGATTGTATGAACGTAAGCTTCATGACCAAGCTCCACGACAAACAGTTCAAGGCGCGTGATGTCGTGCGACAACTAATTGTTCATCCCCTTTACGGCCGCTGCGCTGAATGCTAGCTAGCACTTCAGCCAGATTCGGCAGGCATAACGGTTTTAGCGATTGCCTTTATATGGCTTTACGTGGGTACATAAGGTACTGGGTATATATCAGAGCTGGTGTTATGTATCTCTCGTATCTATGATGACACAGTATAGTTACAGTGAACTTACAAGCCCTGCAAGCATAGTGAGAAATGACAGCCAAAAGGCGGAGGAGCTGGGCCTAGACCTGCATCCTTGCCTTGCAGGGAAGTCGGGTGCGTTTGAATGTTTGCTTCGGCAGCTAGCCTGGCCAGGCTCCAATGCCCCACTAAGCCCCATTTCGCCCTGTGCCCAATGAGAATCGCAGAAACCCATGCCTACTAACTTGGGCGGAATTTGAAGCGAGAAGCGCCTTTATTATGCGACTTCTGCACCAAGACTACAGCAAAGTTGTCTCGGTATTTTCATAGGCATTCAAGACGCCTAACAACCAACGGACAATATAAACGGTCAATGTATCTTCCAAGGCTGATGCTGATCACAGACTTTGTTGCCTATTGAACATCTTTCTACCTAATAGTGCTCGCGTTCATCAGTATCAACAATTTAGCTGTAGATCCGGACAGTGTGTCTGCTTGATGCGTACAGTACGGACCGGAACTCGAGAAGCCTGGGGAAGGGTACCTAGTGCACACTTTACTAGTAGGAAAAGGTGCTTTGCCAATGGGGTTTACCGCCATCCCCCACCTGTCTTGTCTTCCTGCTTCATTTTACTCTGTACACAGCTCTGCGCAACCGGCCTCCAGGCCATTCCACTCTACTCTACCGCCCACACACGCAGATCGTTTCCACCGACTGCAATGATCGTCGCGTATACTCAATGTCATCTCTACCTGTATCCGCATCTTCACTTTCGAAATTATGGCGGACCCTACGCGTCGTAGGCAGAAGCCCTTCTACCCGAAAGCAGACGCCGCGGTGCTGCTAAGCTCGAAAAGCCACTGGCCACCACCGGCTCGTTCTCAAACCGTCTGGCCCATTTTCGATCCTGATACCATCGACGAACCACTCACGCCATGGTCGCAAGGCACTCAAGAGGCTTTTTTCCCTTGCAAAATCGACGAATATGCTGCATCTCCCATCCCGGGGAAGCCTTTGCACAGCCTCCCTCACCGATATTTGCGTGCCTCCTTGGCCCAAAATGAACGCCTTCGGCTGTCTATGCTCTGGTATTATACCCGCAATATCTTTGACGAAAGCGAATTCTTGTGCGGACTGAAAGAGAAAGTGTTCCTTGCCCAAGAATCCACTGGCTGGGAATTTGCTGTCATCGGGCTTCTGGACATCAACATTTACATCCGCCTGGCGACGATAGGACTTCCTCTCGGCGATCTCCCGCGTGGGGAGACGATATGCGCTCACACAGTCATTCAACCCCCTGGTGTAAGTCCGAACCCTGCCAAGGCGTGCTTAATATATCATTATCTTGTACTATTATGTGGAAGCTGCTAACACATTACCGCCCCTAGAGTGTTTTCTTGTTACCAAATATGTTGGAGGATTGGAGGTTTTGCGAGTGCCCATATGTTGAGGCTGGCGGTTTGGTGGCCTACGCTGGCGCTCCGCTTCGTTTACAGAATGAGTTCGATGAAACAGTCAGCCTCGGATCATTCTGCGTCGCCTCGAGTACGGCTCAACCCTCCTTGACCAAGGCCCAGCAAAGCACTTTAGCTCGTTTGGCCGACTCGGTCGTATCAGATATCGTTCAGTGTACGCGGATAAGACGTCAACGGGACCGGCATCGAATGAGTGGCTTGGTCGCCACATTTCAATCAAAAGGGATCGATGCCTTGTCTCAAGATTATATTATCAAGGTCCTGAAAGATGCATATCCAGATGCCCTCATCAGCCTCCACCCGTCGAAGGCTCTGCAGATACACCTCGAAGGACGAGAAGCAATCTCGATATCCGATATTGAGGATGGTTTGTGGGAAGACTTTGAATTCCTCGACGACTTTATCACCCATCGCAACCACCAGGATCTCCCGTGCGACAGAGTCGTACGTCTCATCTCTGCTGAGGTCCAAGAAACCTTGGGGCCGTCCTTGTTGGTCGTGGCATCCAAAGACGTACGATTAGTGTTTGACGACGTCGATTCCTGGTTCGTCCAGACTTGTGCAGATACCCTGACCCAGATATGGAAGAATCGTTTGTTGACAGAGGCGATGCTGGCAAAAGAAACCTTTCTCAGGGGGTTTTCTCATCAGCTGCGCACCCCCATTCATGGCATCCTGGGCTCTGCCGAACTATTAGCAGAGGAACTAGGCCGCAGCGACCTACGAGAGAGCTTCCGCCAAGCATCAGAAGCTCTTGATCATTCGACTTTAGGGAATAACTCTAACTCGACCTCGCTCTGTATTGACACGATCATGACGGCAGGACGCGATTTGACATCAATTATCAACAACATGATCACCCTCAACAAATGGGCCGACATTGCTTCGAAAGACCTTTCATCCGTGGCTCTCGACGTATATCGCCTTGAGTCTGAATTAGCAAAAGAAACGCTTCCGATGATCACCTCTGACACGAGGTACACCACTTCCATCCTCTTCAATTGCACCCCACTTGCAGCCTCTGGCAGTTTCAATATCGATTTCCTTCTGCTCAGGGATACTTTACTCCCAATTCTTGTCAATGCGATTCAGAACTCGCCCAAAGGTGCGATAATGGTGACAATATCCTTACCGCCAGACTCCCAGGAGCTGGTTATTGATATCGAGGACAACGGCTGTGGCGTACATCTCAGTGACCAACAACGCATATTTGAGGCATATGAAAAGGTTGGGGTATACTCTACGGGTGCCGGACTCGGCTTGACTCTCGCATCCAAATTTGCCGCACTCCTAAACGGGTCTGTGAGCTTGGTATCATCGACGATTGGATGCGGCTCAATATTTAGAGCTAAGTTCAACGCGACCGAGTCCGTGCCCGCCCCTCGTTTACTACCGGAAGCCGAGACAAAGCTCGGTAACCTACCCTCGCAATTTTGTTTCGAGCCAACCATTGCAGGGGCTACAGCATTATGCAAATACTTCACCAAGTTTCTAGCTTGCCGAGGCTTCACGCCATGGGATAAAGCTGGGGACTTTTTCACTATCGTCGAATTCATACCGAACGCAGAACGTTCTCGGGAAAGACTGCTGCAGATTCCCCAGAAGCAGGTCGTCATCTGTTTGGTCCCAGCCGCCCATATTCAACTATCGTTAGAAAACGAATCGAGCAATGTTGTTTATGCACGCGCGCCCTTTCTGACGTCAACACTCATAGCTGCGCTTGAAGAGGCTGACAGACTTGCCTCAGCAATTCAAGTCTCAAAAGATTATCCGGGTCATTGCGAGATACTTTCTGCTGCTCTTGCGGAAACATCAGATAGCCAGAGCGCTGATGAGACCAACTCTAGTCTTAGTTCAACGTGTTCAACGGAATCGACAACGCAGTCGTCTTTGGACAGTGGTGTGCATCCTGAACTGACCCCGAGCCCTCTATCAGGATTGGTGTCGGATATAGCTCTTAGAGAGAAACCGAAAGAAAGGGTGCCATTGCTTACTCCACTTCTCACCGTCTCGAAGCCGACAGCGCTGCTGGTTGATGACAACAAAGTCAATCTGCGCGTCATGGAGATGTATTGTAAGAAGCGGGGGTTATCATTCTTCTGCGCTATGGACGGTCTCGAGGCTATCGAAGTGTTTTCGAAGCAACAGTCACTATTCGGTAGTCACCAAGGATCCGGCATTGACTTGATCTTGATGGATCTTCAGATGCCAAATTGTGACGGCATCGACGCTACAAAACAAATACGACTGCTTGAGGAAAAAATGGGATGGCGAAAAACCACCATATTCATCATAACTGGCCAAGATAGTCCAAAGGATCGGGTAAACAGCGAAAATGCCGGCGCTGATGACTACTACGTCAAACCACTAAGCATGAAACTTCTGGACTGTGGCGTCAAAGCAAAGTTTCCTGCTTTCGACGCATCTTGAACCTAGAGATAACATTCGACACACAATTTCAGAGTATGAGAACCCTCAGCGGGAAGCCTTTCGCTTCCGAGCCTTCCAAAGCCTCTCACCATCCTTGTCATCCCACAGAAGGAGCCCCTTTCCTGATAAGCAAGGCGTGGAAGTCGCGGTCGAGCCTTTTGATGGATGCAAATTTCGGGTCAGCGAGGCGTGGCGAGATTGAAGTTAGTCAAGACGACGGCAAGGATGGTGCTACTGCAGATGGTGTTTAGTGAGTTGTCGAACGATGTTCCGACCCTCTCTTATATAATCCGCGCTCTCAACGTAGGGGAAAAGCCTGGCAGATCAGCCAGTGTGACGGATTAGACATCGTGGTCGGTAATTTCCACCCGGAGAATATCCAGAGAGAATCTTTTATTGCTTCCAGGACGGTCTCTCATATTCTCCGTCGCTTCGGTGATAATTTCAGATAGGGCAGCTTGCCTGAAACCAGTCCGCTTGAATTGCTAAGTGGTGCCGGGTCTGAGCAAAGTCAATAGTGACGTGGAAATTTGTACTAACCGCCCATCGAAGTACGAGTTCCGTTGCGAAACAAGTAGGTATGTATATAGGTCCTATGTGGCAGTGAAGCGGACGCGGGAGATAGTTTCCAGAACGGAGCTCTTGCCAGAGGACTGGTCGCCCACCAGGATGATATGGGGCAAATCAACAATTTCTCGGATCTGGAGCTCTCGGATACTTTCAACATAGCAAAGAATCTTAGAGTAGCAATTAATAGTGATTGCATTAAACACTGTCCAGTGCTTATCATTAGCGGTTCACTAGAATTATTATGGCAAGACTGGGAGGGGAGCAGCTCTTTCGATTCCCGTATCGATGAATGGCTGCCAGGGCGCCAAGGCACCCTGGTGATATTTACGGGCTTCTCCAGGGCCAATGTAGGGTTTTCATAGCTGCATCAAAACTATAAAAATGCATACCTACCTATGAGGGAGTGAGCTATCAGGGTGGTGTGCCAAGAAGTCCCTGCTTTTGGGGCAGAAAAAGGGAACCTCGTCCGCTTCGCGCGAAAGGGATGAGACGCGCAGGATCAATGTGCCACACTATGCCCTCCGAGAAGAGCAAAGGCTTGGAGGCCCGATGTTGGTCGGTAAATGCCTAATCATTTCCAGTACCGATCACGATGATCACAATTGCTGACATGATTTCCGAGTGACCAAACAAGTGTCATATGCGCTACTTTTTTTCCCCGATAAGAAACCCCCAACATGGACGCAGTCGCATATCCGGACCTATCGAGCCGCAGCACCCCTACGGAGGGCCGGGAGTTGCACATTGTTTGCATCTTCTCGGAGCAAAACCGGTCATCTTTAGGGCCGTGCATCTATGGTCAGATCACATATGATGAATTTAGGTTTCTTGATGAGTCTAAACACCAACTAACTTATCGGTCCGAATCTTCTCTCACTCCAGGCTCCCCAATCAAAGAAGAAAGGAAAAGGATTTTCATGTGAATGCTGAGGTTTCTAGCCGCGCCTCGGCCGAATCAACGTTACTTGGTCAGTTGTGGTCAAGAAGAGTACGATGCGAATGGGTCCACGATAATTAATTTGCCTTGGGAACTATCATCCATCGTAATCAATACATTATGTGCTCCCCCATCTCTCCATATTCTGTCTCTAACTTTGGTATCTCATGTGCTGTAGTGTTGTGGTAGTTGACTTGCCGACTAGTCTGCCGTGGTTTCTCGCGTATCCCAGAATTAGACATTTCTGTAAAACCCATTTGTATCTCATAGGCTGGAGATACATGTTGCTTCGTGTTTGGAGAACCATGGTGCTCTTGATAACCAACCCTTATCAGACACCGTGACACTCCCATATCTCTGCCATGACGAAACTTTGCCAAGCAAGCTCGATTCGATTTTGGTGAATCTTCATCAGGACTCGACAGTGCAGTCGGTGTCCTGTTCGTCTTTCGTACAAGCGTATATTGCCTCCATCATGTCGTCGGTAGTGCAAAATGAATTCGTGAGGAATTTAAAGTGACCTCTGCCCTCCTCGTTACGCTCGCACTCCCAGAATGTGACGGGGCCGCAGCGTCCTCGCACGTTGTCAAGACAACCCCGGCCACAATCCGAGTTGTACTCTGTGTCGTTTGCAATAACAATCTGCCATCTGGTCCATATGGCAAGTTCCTTGTAGCCTGCGCAGTAGTTTCCAATAGGCCATGGCCTCGGTTTGCGATTGCGGGCGGCACAGGGATCAGCGATTGCGACGAGGGCGACTGCCAATTTGAGAAGTGTGCAAATCCGCATTGTGTTCTTCGATAATGTGTATGTCTTGGAGGGCAAGTATGTCTCTGCAGTCGTTGACGAGATAGTGCGGACAGATGAAAGGGTTGCTATTGTGTCTGGTGGATCGAATGGAATGAATGATTATCAGTTTGGAATTTCTAGGACCCACGAGGAGCCGATTCAATCAATTTATCCATTTTCATACGCCTCCAAGGTCCTCACAAATTTCAACATTTCTCGACCTTCGGCCCTTTTTCGGGGAACGATGATCTTAGGAGTGCCGGGAGCCAAGGTTTAAGCAAGAGTGCATCCTTTCAGCACGCCGGATCGAATTGCTATAAGCAACTAAGAGGTATCTGCATTAGGTTCATTGCTCAGTCATGTCAGTACCCGACCGCCGCTCGCCAGGCCCGTAATAATCCCAATACTTCTGCTATGGAGGATCCATAGACACAAGGGGGCTTTTACTAAGCCAATTTAAACGGCGGAAGTTCAAAATGGAGCATATAGAAGAATATGAGTTGGTCACATTAAATGAGAGAAGAGAGAGGCTGATAACTCAGCTGATAACGGACTGACATCAGGGCAGTGAATTTACCTGACAACCTTAACCTTGATAGAATGGCCCTACCTAATGCTATGTCTGGTTTGATACTGCTATCTACGGCTGAAATTGTTGTTCATATGATGGCAACTAACGGAGTCAGGTCTGCGTGTGAGTTATCTTATAGGCGTACATCGTTCGGGCTTATTACCTAATTCTGTGTAGCCGTTGGCAGTTAATGTGCAATTCATCATATGCCCTGTTGAGCGCGCTCCTTCACGATCTAACAGAGTAGTAAATCACTTGTTGTTTTGGTATGAACGCACAACTCTCCTGATAGGAATGTACAAGTTCAACCATTCATTGTCACGGTCTAGATGCCGGTTCAGGTTGTGGCCGTGTCAGGGCATTGCTGATCCAGTGCGACGGTTGCCATCTCTGCACGTCATGTCCCACACCGTAATCTCACTCGAACAAGAACAATTCAACCACTCAATAGGTTGTAGTAAATCCCACCATGATCGGACATCAGCGCGCATGCTCTGCTACCACCAAACATTTGCCCTAACCCTAGCTGGGTATTGTTGTTCGTCATTTAACACATCTCTTCCTCTGAGATACGGGAGTTGGATATAGTATACAGGGGGCCCGGTAGATGGCACTGCTGCATCGCCCTCCAGTTGATATGGTGCACATTGATTTGGCGCTTACTACCAAGCCTTCAGCTCTGACGTGAGCAACTCGCGAATCCCTGTCCCAATTCGTTAAGGTCTTGTTTAGCGCCATATTTTAAGCCGGCCCATTCCCTTTCTTTTGGAAAAGACCATAATGGCACTTTTCATAGTATTCTCATCCTACAAGGGGCCCTCTCAACCGCAAATATTAAATGAGTGATGCGTCAAAGTCGACCATACGGAACCAGCGCGCGACGCAAACGGCAAAATGCAGAAGCACAACGAACTTACCGTGAGTCACGCTACGCAGCACAATTCTCCGGCCGTGACTCACGATTACAATCACAGGGGCAAAGCAAAAAGAAAGGTTGCGCGTCCTTGAGCAACTAGCAGTGTCGACACTAGCTGCCAGCAGCAGCGACTCAGTCGCTGTTCTTAATCGTTTTCTACAGCCAGCAACCCAAAGCTGTGATCCGGAGATAAGGCAACCGACCAGTGCTGATCCGGGTGCTAGTGTTTCCAGTCAAACTATATCGAAGAATGTACTGGAATTCCCAATCTTTTTCTCATTTTCGAGGGACGAAATCAACAAATGTCTACGCATCATGGTGAAAGAGGGATTCGGCCTTCGACATGTCGTCAAGTACGGACTGATCAGTCTCGGGTACGGAGTGGAAACATCACTCTTCGATCAAGCATTAAACATTTCATCCCAACGTCGGATCGAACTAGTGCAACTCACCTATGGACGAGTTGACATGGAGCAGGTTATATCCTGTGGCGTTAGGCTCTTTGCCCAACTACCAAATCCTCCAGTGTGGCCATCTTTGGGCACGTTGAAGGCCCCATGCCCCAGTCCTCCAAGGACCATTTCCCTATCTGTAATGACAATCATCTCAGCTCAATTGCTCAATATGCCGCTTATTGGCATGACGCCAGATATGCTCTGGAATGAAGATTCCGAGTCACTCTTCTTCAAGGATGGAAGAGCAGCGTGGTCTGCACGGTCTTCCCTCGATAAGGATAGAGGTCAATATGTTATTCCGCCAGACCTCCGACCTACCGCAAACCAGTTCCTTGTTCGACATCATCCGTACATAGATTTGATACCCTGGCCAACATTTCGCGCAAACGTTTTGGCGGCTATATCGCAGAGCCCTCCTACAATAAATGAAGACGACTTGTGCATGGATCTGGCAAATGATGGTGTGCGATGTTGGGGCAATACTGGAACCTCTCTTCACGGACGTGGTGAAGGCATGCCGTGGGACTCCCGGAGCTGGGAGGCAGCACCTTGGTTCCTAGAGAAGTGGCGGTGCCTTATCGGCGGCGAGGATGACGAAATTTCCAGAAATAGTGCCTGGTGGAGGACAATGCAAGACATGCCGTAGAATCACCCACAAACGTTCGGTGAATGCACATTTTTATTGTATCTCTATCCTTGCTCCAACTTGAACCTAAACACTGAACCCGATCAGGCTACTATCTTGTGCGCGGCGATTGACCAAATTCTTTAGTCGCGTGACGAAGTTTGCTCACTAAAGCACGCATGAGAAACTACCTACTAGGCACCTAAATGTCCATATAAGGCCGGATCTGCAACTCTGCCCACTCGTAGTACTTGATACGAAGACTTTCGTCGAGAAGGTCCTTGCGATATGGTTGCAAGCGACCGATCGGAACCACTGGAAACAAGTCAGATCTGAACGATTTCTTTAACGGCTTGTCTTCACAACTTACCCCAGAGCCCTTGATTTTGGAGCGTGATTTCGGGACTCAGCCCAGCAAACAACTCGGTGTATGCTCCTTTTATTGGCTCATATCCACCAACACTCTTGGTCACAGGTTAGAATGATACCACAGTGGAATGGATTTGACTGACCACCAGGAGCCTCTGAGCGGCAGGCATGTTGCGTTGAAGTTCCGTCTTGGCTATACCCGGTTCGAGGCTCTGAGTTTCTTATTTCAGTAAACATTGATCCAAAGTTATTAGGAATGGCTCTCTCACAATGCTGACAACCCCATCACTTGCAACTCGGTTTCCAAACTCTGCTGCAAGCAAGACCATACCTGCTTTGCTTCTGCTGTATTTGGTCTGTTGACCTTCGTCAAACCTCTCATGACGCATGTTGGAGAAATCAATCGGCGGCTTGGGCGCGCGCTTGGCGGCCATTGAGGATACCCAAACCACTCTGACCGAGTTGGCGGGCGACTTTGCCGCAGTGGCGACCAGAAGCGGACGGAGCCAGAGCGTGAATAGCAAGGTGGCGAGAGCATTGACCCCGAGCTGAAGCTCAAACCCCTGAACGGTTTTGGAGCCCTCGGGAGGAAGCATCACACCTGCATTGTTCCAAAGTACATCCAAGCGGTTCTCCCGGCTGATGAAGTCCAGGGCAGATGCCTTGACTGACACAAGATCCGCAAGGTCGAGGTGCAGATATAAGAGCTCGCCCTGTGAGTGGGGCAACAGAGATCGTAGTTCTTCGATGGCAACGCGAGCTTTACTCTCGGATCGGACGGCAATGTACACCTTTGCGTGTCGTTGATACAAGATTTTGGCGAGCTCTTTGCCAAAGCCGCTTGAACTCCCAGTGACTATGAAAACCTTGACAAATATCAGCTTTTTTTCAACTGAAACCAAAGGTTTGTTGCTCGCGGCCTACCTTTCCATGTTGATCTGGCAAATTGGCCTCTGTGAGAGTTGGCGGAGGATGGCAGATGCTCATGATTTTAACTTCAGGCACAGGGATGTGGAATCCAAAAAATGCAAGTTGCGTAGAAGATGTGACGGTGATGTATGTTGAGACGATGAAAACTTTTAAATGGCGAGGAAGTGAAATATTTATATACACTTGCTCTACATCTTTTACTTGACTACTTTTCGTTTTGAATGGTATAGTCAATCAATCACCAACATCATAATATGGCATGCATTGTCCAATGGAGCCAATCAGAATATCATTCTGCAGGCAACGTGAGCATTGTGGAGCCCGGAAGCTTGGTAGCGGACATCATGTCAGCCACGGCGTCGTGTATGTTGGCAACGTGAGCACTGTGGAGCCGTGAAGCAGGACAACGGTCTTGGCGAATAGACAACGTAAGCACATCTCGCGACCGAGGCATTACGCTAGATTCAAGTCATCTAGTACAAAACTCATCACGTGAATCACGTAGAGATTTTCTACATACCTTGACATAGACCCATGCGGTGATTCGATTGAGAAATATAGGATTGTGTAAGCTTATTAGCACAGCAAGGAGCTGACTCTTGTCGCCAAATAGCCGGGGTTTCTCTATCAGTGAATCAACCGTGCGAACTCGTGACGCTGTATTATCCATCGATAGAGTCTTAATCGGGCGCCTCTCTCCCACCAAATGACACTGCAGTAAGTCCAGAGGCCTTCCAAACTATTATCCTCGGGGTTCTTTGCTAAATTTGAACTGGAGAATCGGTCCAGGGGCGCCAGAATGTGGTCGTACTTGTTTACGAAGGAGACGTGTACAGAGCATATATGAAAGGCATCACAATATCACGAGACACCATAGCCACCTCACTACGGCCTGCTTAGTCTGGTATTGAGAGAACCTGATAACATCAGGTAAATGTTTAGATAAGTCATAAGTTGACCAGTTCTTGAGGGTCAATGTCTCTTGGTCGTGGATTTTCACCTTGAGCATTGAACGTCGAGAAAAATTGACAGCCTAGAGTCTCTACGTAAAAGAATACGGTGGGTTTTCTAGAACGAAGTATTGCCAAAACAAAATGAAATCCCTTCAACTGTTATGTGGTGAATCAGCACTAGCAGAGTTAAGCGATAACGCCAAGCCCACGTACACGAGAGTTGCATCCTGTTGGCAGTGGTGACGACAACGAAATCGGGCCAAAAGATGCGAACAATAATTTTGCCTTACTTTCGGGCCTAGAAATCAGCTTTGTCATTTGCGAGAAACTGGAGTTCAAGATGAAAAACAGGAGGCGCGCTTGCGAGGAGTGCCATCGCCTCAAGATCAAGTGCGATGTAGACACATCACTGGGAGGGACATGCGAACGGTGTACTGGTAACGGCCTAGAGTGTGTGCCAGCAGCACCGCGTCTTCAGCGTGACCGTATCCGAGACCTCGAAGCCGAAGTTCAGGAATTGAAGAACTCATTGCAGGACCAGAACAACGGCACAACACTGGACCGGACGCCCGAGGGTATGCCAGAGAGCCGGCACCATGACGTGTTGTCATTCCTGGACGCCCGAATTTCGCAGCACGCACAGCAAAATCTGCTCGCTCTCTTCAAACAGCAAGCGGAAGCAGTGTGGCCGGTAGTTCGCTTGCCCGTGGACCTGAGCCAGCTTCGCGCAAAGTCGCCAATTTTGCTTCTCTGTGTACTGGTGTATACTTTTACACGGGAGGATCAGGGCACTGATATAGACGTGCATGATGAGCTCGTGTGGGAAACGATGCATGTGTTGGGAGAAGAGGTAATTGGCAGAGGACAAAGGTCACTTGAACTCGTGAAGGCGCTGCTCGTATCCGCTTTCTGGAATAAATCTACTCGAAAAGGCCAGCAGGCTAGTTGCTTTCAGCTCGTTCAACTGGCCTCCGACATTGCCATTGACCTTGGCATCGCCGGATATTCTCTTCAGCCGTCGGCCGCGGCATATTTCTCTCGACATGATGATCCCATGTCAACAGAAGCCCGTCGCACTTGGCTTTCCTGTTTTGTGGCACTCTCGACTTCGGCGATATCCATGCGGCGCCGTATTGCAATTCCGTGGGATGATCATCACCAGACATGCCTTTCATATATGGAGAGCAGTGGCGACCCGTCTGATATCCTGCTTTGTCAGATTGTCCAAATCACGCAGTTGATCCAAGAGATCTCTGAACATCACTGTCTTTGCCAATTGTCTACCTTTGTAGATGGCAACGACTACCGTACGCATGCCACTATCGAGACTCTGAAGAACAAAGTCGATGCATGGGCGGCCAAGATGCCGTCCGATCTGGTGTTTTGCCAGACACTGAGAGTGCTACGGCATGTAGCCATGATCCACATATATGAAGTCGTGCTGCACACCCCTACGAACAAGGCGTCGTTCGGGGCACCGTTTATCCCGGGTCGCATTGCCATCAGAGACTTCCCCAAGCCAGTCGATATCATCCCTCCTCTCGAAAAAGCACTCCATGTCCTTGTCCAACAATGTCATGCCGTCATTGACACTGTTGCAGAGATGGATCCTGCGCTGGTGCTCAGCCTTCCCACGTTTTCATTTGCGCCAACTGTCCTTTATGCTCTTTTTGTGCTTGTGAACGCATTCGTGGCGGCTACTGACCCGGCAAACACATATGGTCAATGCATATCGACGAAGAGCTTTCGCATCGAGCACTGCGTTCTGAAGTTGGGGGGCCTAACGGCAAGCCTCAAGGCGCTCGATCCCACCACGAGTTGTTATACAACACACCTGTTTGAAGCGACAGGTTGGCTCGAGGGATGGTACAATGACTACATGGCCATTTTGAAGCGATATGAAACAAAATTACGTTACCAGTAGAAGGAATATGTATCAAAAAACTTTGGATTACATTATAATTTGCGCATGTTAATTAGGTCCGGGTCATGAATTGTGCCGTTGTACTGGGTGCAATTTAAGGTTATTCTTTACTGGGTTAGGGCTGATTTGCCGGCGAATTTTGGCCGTTTCCCCATGTTTCCTGGTGTCATCGGTAACAACAGGTCAAGTGCCTATGTCCAGTAGAAGTGGGGCCGGCGAATTTTGACCGTCTCCGCTCAGCGAGCTACAGCGGATGATTGGTGGCCACGTTTCTGGGCATAGGCTGTGCACACTCCTACATCATGGATTGTGAAGCATAATGATGCTTAGAACACCAATATCGCGAGAGAGGCAGCTGATTCTTTTGCCTTTCCTCGATCGTGAAAAAATATCTCTACCAATATTGACTTACGACCACGTCTTGGCCAGACGTTATACGAGTTAGCGTAGCATGCCTTGATTTATGGGAGGCTGGATTCCTAAAACTCGATCTTGATGGGATATTTGACGTATATATAAAGAGCATCTTGGAAGCAACTCCTGTTTTCTCAGAGAACCACTTTGCAACATCGCAATTATAAAGTAGTCTCTTCGCCATCTAAGCAACCTCTTTTGTGATTCTCATATTAGTCGTTCCCAAATAAATTTCATCATGCGTCCATCATTCTGGTCTTGCATATTGATGGCAGGCTCTTGTGTGGCTCAAGGGGATCTTGCCGCGCTTCTAGGTTCTCAGGATGATCTAAGCACACTCCTCGAGCTCGTCGGACTTGTCGATGGGCTGGCAGAGACCCTTTCCTCGGCGTCAAACATCACCATTGTCGCACCAACGAACCAAGCCTTTGCAGACGTTCCAAGAGACATTCCCGAGGGCGCGGCCATTGAGTTTCGCAACGACACTGTCGCTATAGGTGCTTTACTTGCAAACCACGTCTTCAAAGGTGTTTACCCGTCGCATGTGATTACCGATACTCCCACCTTTGCCCAGACCTTGCTCGACGACACGTACATCACTGCTGAGCAGCCGTTCTCCAACTTTACTGGCGGCGCTTATAACGGCCTGGTGAAAAATGGAGATGATGTATGCGTCCTATCAGGAGAGCAGACTATCTCTACCGTCACTCAAGCTGTTAGTTTTGAAATAATCCTTCTCGTTCTCAAAGTGCGTACTAACCTGGGACATAGGATATCACTCTGGGCCAAGGCATTACAATCCACAAGATTGACACGGTCCTTTCTTTTGGAGCTCCATTCCAACTATTTACCTACCGAGCCGGCTATCGCGCCATGAATGCCGCAGTGGAAACTGCTCAACTTAACATTGCGTTAGGCCTGACTGGAGACGGCGTCCAAGGTGCCAATATCTCTGATTTCACGATATTTGTGCCAACTGATGCAGCCTTCACGGCGATTGGCTCTGTACTCGAGTCGGCGGACCTGGAGACAGTTCAGGAGGTCTTACAATACCATATCATTCCCAACAATGTCATCTTCTCGCCGTCCTTGGGCAACGTGACAGTTCCAAGCCTACAAGGAACTAACCTGACATTTACCGTATTACCGGACGGTTCAGCCTGGGTCAATAACGCCAAGATTACGTTTCCAAACACTATCCTATACAACGGCATCGCTCACGTGATTGACAGGTTAGCTGCATTGTCCATACCTTGAAGTGACTACACAAGCTGACCTAGCATTGTCTCATCTAGTGTACTGAACCCGGAAGACTTTGATCGAGCTTCCTTGGAGCCGGCTGCGCCAGCTTCTGATAGACTGGCTTTTCCCAATGCTTCTCCGGTTTCAAGCCTGTCCTTTTCCACTACCGCCTTTGCTTTCGACACCATGACATACACGACTACTCCAGTGCTGCTTGAGACCGTCGCCACTGTTGCGACGCAGCTGTCGGCCTCGGCGACGGCTACAGCGACGAGCACCCCGGATGGTACGCCATCGCCGGTGGCAACTTCGGAAGGTGGCGCATTTTTTCCCGCTGCAAGCTTGGCGCTGTCTATTGCAGTCGCGATTGCTGCCTTTTTGGTTTGAAGTCACAAGTCGCCGGAAGAAGGGTAGATACGAAGACTCGTGGATGGATGGAATCGGTTCTGCTCGAGACAATTGAATAGCAGACTGAAAAAAGCGGTGGTGTAATAATGGAGAAGAAGGAATCAGTTCCCTGCTAGTGCTATGGCTCACTGCCTATTGGTGCAGGTGTACCCTCAGACAGCAACCAAGGATCAATCATTCTGATTGAGACAGACTATAACTAGTGCTTTCAACCTCATGACATTGTGTGGTACTCTTCATCTCTTCCCTAGAACTGTGTGAAACTCACGTGCATGAGTGAATAAAATGTTACATTTTGCCAAGGCTGCCTGCTTACAAACGTCTTCAGCTCCATCTTACCGGCTACATGCGCCTCTGTAATGCAAGTTTCAGCACTTTGTGAAGAGAGGTACGACTTTGTCTTATCGCATGCGATGAAAACGAAACCATTATTTCTTGCACCATGGATTCTTTTCTTATCTTATTACGTGTTGTCTAGTTCTGAACAACATACACTTGCACAGCGACCTTTAGGACTCCCTCTGCCATATTTGCCAAGGCACATATAGCGCGACACCGAGTAACTCGTCATAGATCAGGATAGATACAATTTCTGTACACGGATAGACATATTTTTTTTTTATCTTGTCGCTCATATCACGAATGTGGTCGCCGATGCATCCATAGTCACCTAACCTAGCTGGGTATTAGCACAATTCACATCCGTCTACCCGCATTTTCGGCCCCCATAGTGGGCTATGTTGCATCTAAATCAATCAATTAAGCGCCTGTCAGTCCCAATTTAAGACCCAACCCCTTTGACATTACAGGTATCTTCTGTCTTGAAATGGCATAGGCTGACCACACGCTGGGGGTCCAACTCTCGATTGGGCAGGTAATAAAGGTACTGTTGGCAACACTGATTCAGCTAAGACGAAAATAAAGTTGACAACCATCCCTACCAAGGCTCCATTTATCCCCATGGAAGGGAATTGTGCTACCCAAGAGCCTCCACGTCCAAACATCGTGCGGCTCTTTTAAGGTCGGCGCCGGACCGTGATAGTGATCAGGGGTGCAGACCAGGAGTGCACGGGTGTCTTTTAAGGATACGAGAACAACTGCAATCTAGTTCGTGTGCAAGGCCTGCAGCCATGGGTTTTCAGCGCAGCTAAATCTGGCTGCCTGGTGCAATGGACCTTTTTCACTATGCTGTGCCGCATGCTCCATTTCAGCCGAGCCGAGAGCCAATAAGCATGGTCTTGGCATGTCTTGGCTGTTGAATCCTTTGGGAAAGTTGAATTATCGTGATCAGGCTCGCGCTTACTTTTTCCTCTCCTTGATTATTTCGCGAGTTAAATCGCCTTGGCCAGGGAATAAGTATGGTTGGAAGCACGGCGAAGGTCGATCAGTTGGAGCTCCAGCAGAGATCCGGATCATCGAGTTCTAATTCAGATGATAGCTCGATTTTCGACCCTGGTCACCAATTAATTGCAGATGGTTCCGCCAAGAAGCAAAGCATTGGGCTGAGACAAAAGAGAACTTGGATCGCTATTGCGGCTGTGTGTGGACTGGTGGTTATTGCCGCCGTTTTGGGAGGAGTTTTGGGTGCTTCAGCAAGACGCTCAAGTAAAAACGCTGGCCAAACCACTCCGCCGGACAACTATACTTCAAATCCCGACCGCGCCGCGGCAGTCAGCCAGGCTTTTAGTCAAGCGTGGGCTGGCTACTACGATGTGGCATTTCCAAGTGATTCACTGCGGCCAGTGACGAATGGCTCACTTAATGATAGGTTGGTGTATTTGAATTGTGCTACATAGATCAGCAAGCTAATATCTGAACAGAAACGGCTGGGGCGCGACCGCTATAGATGCCCTCTCCACGGCTCTGATCATGGGGAACGATGAAGTGGTCCAGCAGATTCTGGATTTTATCCCACGCATAGATTTTGATAAAGTCAGTGATGTGGAACGTACCGTCTCACTCTTTGAAAGCACCATTCGATACATAGGCGGATTACTCTCTGGTAAGTCTCAAGGAGTAAAGTCTTGTTCGCAACTCACTATTCGATAGCTCACGATCTTCTCTCTGGACCCTTTTCGCAGTCATACCCGATGAATGAAACAATCTTGACAGGTGTCCTTGACCAGGCCGTGCATTTGGCTGAGAATTTGAAGGTTGCCTTCAATACATCCAGCGGAGTCCCCATTGGGCGGTTGCTATTTGAGCCCCCTCGAACCAATGATGATACACAAGTCAGCTTGGCAGGGGCCGGTACCCTGATTCTCGAGTGGACTAGGCTGAGTGACAAGACTGGCAACGAAGAGTATGCAAAGTTGGCAGAGAAAGCCCAGTCTTATCTCTTGAATCCCAGCCCGCCAGAGATAGCAGAGCCATATCCCGGACTGCTTGGTACTTACATTAGTCCCGAAAATGGGTCATTTCTTGAGTCTAGTGGTGGCTGGTGGGGTAGCGACGACAGCTACTATGAGTATTTGCTCAAGATGTACATGTATGATACACAACGCTTCAGCAATTACAAGGACAAGTGGACGACAGCCGCGGATTCGACCATCAAATATCTGGCGTCTCACCCATCGACTAGGCCGGACTTGACTTTTCTAGCGATATATGCGGGGACGGGCAACCTAACATTTACTTCTGGCCACCGTGAGTCTCTTTCATTTGGTTCATTTCGCTCGTCCTATCTGCTCACACCAATCAAGTTGCCTGTTTCAGTGGCGGTACCTTTATCCTAGGGGGCCTCACGCTAGATAGGCAAGACTATGTCGACTTTGGTATCAAACTAGCCTACAGCTGCCACGAAACATATACTGCCACGGCGACGGGTATTGGCCCTGAGAGCTTTAGCTGGAAAGATGATGGAAGCCTCTCGACTTCAGCTGAAATCGCCGAACCCCCCAATGACCAGACCTCGTTCTATGAGACATCGGGATTTTGGATCAACAGTGGCGACTACCAACTCCGCCCCGAGGCAATCGAGAGCTGGTATTATGCCTACCGCGCCACAGGGAACTCCATATACCAGGACTGGGCCTGGGACGCGTTTGAGAGCATCATGGCGGCATGCTCGGCAGGCAGCGGTCTCTCTGCGATTTCAGACGTGAATGCTGCCAACGGAGGACAGTTACTCAACAGCCAAGAGAGCTTCATGTTTGCCGAGACCTTTAAATACCTGTACATGATCCAGGCAGAGGAGGCGCCATGGCAGGTCTCGGCATCACGCGATAATGAATTTGTATATAATACCGAGGCGCATCCATTTAGGATTGCGGGGAATTCGGTGTAATTCAGTCATGCTTGGGATTGTTGAGGGGCAATCGATGGGATTTCAGTGATAGGACCCACTTGCAACTCTATGCACGCTTTCGAGTGAAGTGAAAGTCAATTTGTCGGCACACTCGTCGCTGCGATCGACGAAGACCTTGGGCCAAGAAATCTGTGATGGCGATTTAGTTGTAGATGATATCCTCATTCTCTGTCTACCTCATTATCCGTGTGCAACTTGCGACAACGGGTTAGCGAGTAGATGTCAGAGTTATGTCAATGCAAGAAAGACATCAGCATGAGCAGGTGCAAGCAAGATGCAAATGTCGCAACCCACGCAACGAATGCCGACCATGTCATATCCCCACGCAGAGCTGCGTCAAAGACGCCTTTTTAGAGGTCGCGGAGCAAAGGCAATATCATGAACGTGCGGGTGTCTGCATTCTTAGTTGGTGGTGTGATGCACGAGGCACATATTGAACTTTAAATTTTCTTGTGGTGCGAGCTGCACGTCTTTGCTGCATCGTAGGTTGGCAGCGATGCACCATGGAACTCTAACAGGCATGGCCAAACAATCACTTTCAAAAAGTTCATGCGGTTTTTTCACTGCTGATATTAACGTCCCTATACGGAACCTGTGAAATACAAATTAAAACCCCAATAGATATTACAAAACTAGTTTCTGCCCGGGGGCAATTCATAGACAGCTTTCTGCTCTTGAACTGCATCAGGAGCACCATGCATTTCCTGGGGCGGAGGATGATATTCCCAATATGCTGGTGCAACCTCCACAGTGTCTATCCTAGGCTCTGGTACAACCGGTTGTGGACGCCGAACTCTTCGTTTGCCATAGCAAAAGCCGACAAGCGCAAGTAAGATCGTGACGACGACACCAGCAACAGCCACACCCGCGATGGCTCCAGTGCTAAGCCCACCATGATCAGTCTCGAGATCGATCGGCGCAGCATCTGTTGGCATTGGCGAGATGCTCGTGCTCTCGATAGCGGCAGTGGAGCTTCTGGATAGTGAGGTTGTTGGTAGTAATTGAGTAGTTGGAGAAGATGAGAGACTGCTTGAAGATGCAATTGTCGAAGAGATGGAGGCGCTTGTCGAAGGGCTGGAGGAACTTGAAGAACTTGAGGTCTCGTTCCGAAGTATATAGAAGCTCGTGCTCCAGAACCCTCCTTGCGTTTGCTCGTACGTGGTGCCTCGAGCGTTCACCATATGGAACACGTACGGCTCGGTGAGGTTGGTTTCTTCTGCATACACCTTCCATTGATACCAGCTCGTGGCCAGGTTGGCTGCCATCATGAGCCGCAGCACAGGAAGGAAGATCCAAATGATCACTTACTGGCGATTTGTGTCGACACGGCTACTTTGCCTCTCTGGTAGTAGTACAGATTGACGCCTTCATACTTCATTGTCCAGGTGATATTGATGAGCGACGTTTCTCGAAAGTTGAGCGGCCATTGACGAGGAAAAGTAAAAGAGCCATTGATCGTGTCGACAGGGCTTGTATACAGCACTCCAGTGTTCTCGTCTCTACTTTCGAGCCAGGAGGGCACGTCAGTTGCCGCGTGATCCATCACACCGACTAGAAGGTAACGATGTGCATAAGAATCTACGACCCAGCGCAGTAGAGATTCATGTGGACGTAGATTGCTAATAGAAAGATTGATTGTGGCGGAATCATGAATGGGTGAAGTATCAGAAGTAATGGCGGGATCTTGAGGCGAATGCAGCATGTGAAGGAATCATGCTCATTCATTCCAAATGCTTGGCATATTGATACTTGGGCGGCTATTCTCGTTGCGAATCCATGATATTTCCAGATTGAACAACACGCGAAATGGCTCTCACATTACCGACGAGTCTTCCAAGCATACGGAATGACCGCCTACAGCAGTAAGTCAGGATGGCTTGTAGAATCGGAACACCTTGGGCAGCCTGGCCAAATGATCAGGCCGCTGCAGTGATTGGACGCTTTTTAGGTCCGGCTTGCACTACATTTACGTGTTTGGGAAGGGCCGTGGCAAACAATGGTCGAAAGTATTGTAGGCACCAACTCTTTGGGTCACCCTTCTGGAACCCAGTGGAGGGTATGTTGTGTCTCGACTCTCAAGGACCATTGCTAGAGCGAACCAGAGCGAACCGGCCCTTGGAAGCGCCCGATGCCCTCAGCCCGTGGTGAGGGATCCCGAGATGATTGCGATGATCCAAATGATTTGATGCAACCATATGTACCTTGTCAGTATGTATGAACACGTATTGTGAAATTGCTGCAATCCTGGCACCAACAGCTCAAAATGCATAGTGGGCGGCAGGTACCAACCTGCTGGGACGGATGGGCCTATCATAGCGGGGAGTTTGGTGGAGGAAACAAGTCACAAACACGACGAAATGGACAACCCCGGTCACGCCAGACCAATGAGGGGGGAATCCGGCCATGGAGGGGATAGATATTTACTACTTGTGGCCTCCCTTGCATTGAGCATCCATCATGCCCGGGACGGGCGTCTAATTCTATGCTTGTGAGCAGATTTGGAAAGGTTCGCCCCAAAAATATAACCTCCAAAAAAAGAGTGCGCGCTTCCGTCCCCCACTCCATGCATGAGTAGAGCTTCACTTAAACCTTTCCATCGCAATTGATTTTGTGACCCATTATACTAAAGTCAATACTTTTTTTTTTCGCGCAATCTTGGAATTTGTTACACTCTTTTTGGATGCGTCATGCCCATGGCACGGAGTCTTGATGCCATCATGCTCGGGCAGAAAGGCATGCGACGGCGCGGGTTTCGCCTCATGATAGTGTCGTTCATTCTCACAATCTCTTTTATGCTGTATCTGAACAAATTTCAATATTCGATAGCATCGTTTTCTTCTTCATCCATCATTGCCCACGGGCCCAGTCCAATATGCCCCAAACTTTTCATGTCCGACAATGTCGCCGTTGTTCTCAGAACTGGCGCGACGGAATCCCAGGAAAAACTTCCCGTGCATTTCGATACTGTCATGTCCTGTGTTTCGGATTTCATTGTATACTCGGACTACAACGAGACTATTCAGGGATGTCAGACGCACGACGTACTGTCCGATGTGGATGATACCATCAAGGATACAGCGACAGAGTTTGCGCTGTACAAGCATCTACACACCCACGGGAGGGAGGGATTATCCTACAAGACCATGTATGGGAGTGGACCATCGGGCGCCGAAGAAAACGCAGGTTGGAAACTTGACAAGTGGAAATTTCTTCCCATGGTGGACCGCGCACTTCAAGACCGACCCAATGCGACCTGGTTTGTCTTCATTGAGGGAGACACATATATGTTGTGGCAAAACATGCTAGCATATCTTGCCAAGTTTGATGCAGCGGAGCCACACTATCTCGGAAAGCACATGTATATAAACAATATTCTGTTTGGCCATGGTGGCTCCGGCTTTGTGCTATCCAGGAGAGCGGCGGAAAAGGTGTCGCATCACTGGAGGCAACACTTGAACGAGTACAATCAGCTCACCCAGAAGGAGTGGGCAGGCGATGCTATTCTAGGAAAGGCACTGAAAGACGCGGGCGTCGACATGTTCTGGGCCTTTCCTCACCTTCAAGGCGACAGCTTGACAACGATAGATTGGAATGTCACAAAGCTCGAGAGAGAGCCCTGGTGCTATGCACCAACGACCTTTCACCACATGAATGAGGCCGAGTTCAGGCAGTTGTGGCATTTTGAACGACAGTGGTTGGCGAAATGGGGACCCGGAGGCGGGCCAGCTCCCCGTTTTCGCGACATATTCAAGGGGCTAGTGCTGCCAAAGCTCCGGCCCGAAATCAAAGACTGGGACAACTTATCGAGTGGCAGAGAATACAGCGACGCTGTCCTAGCGAATTGGTCCGACGAGCAGAAGACTTCGTTGCATCAGAGTGAACGAGAAGCGCATTTCTCGTTTCAGCACTGTCGATCCGCCTGTGAAAGCAAACCCACTTGCCTTCAATTCTCATTCAATAACGGAGTTTGCTTCACTTCAGACGAGCTGAAACTGGGCCATGCTGTGGATAGCAGCTGCCTGGAGTACTCAAATGCGGCAGGAAAGTGCACCAAGAGTAGCAAAGCAAAGGTTGATGCAACAGCCCCAGGAAAGGCTGGTATCGCATCTGGTTGGATCATGAGTAGAGTTGCCAAATATGTCAGTGATCTAGACCAATCGTGTCAGAACAAAGGCGAAAAGGACTGGGTAATATGACTACAATCTGCGTTAGAAGCCCGGATCATGAATATACCCAAACAATCTTTCGAACCCATGTCTGATTAGCATTGCATGTTGCCTTGATTATTCTGGAGAAAAAAAAAATCCTTCTGCTTACCAAAGCGTCTCGTAACTTGAGTGCGGGACACCATCCCAGCCGTGCCTACATCAAGAAGTACCTAGTAGTTGAAATAGCCTAATCGCACAAAAAAGAAATTCGCTTACATGGAGGGGCGTGCTAATGTTGCAGGTGTAAGCTGCATACCCGCATTATCTGGGTGAGCAACTGCTCTACCCCTCGCCATTTCAATTTGCAGTTGATCCAATCTGACCTGCCTTTCTCTTCAGAATCTTAGTAACAATGAGAGGTGTATAGGTGTGTTTGAACGAATCGAAGAATAAGGCAGCAAGAACGTTAACTTCGCACGCCACGTGCGGCCATATTCGTAGGAAAACTCGAAATTCACATTACCTTCTCTTGTATTACATCGGTTTCTCCACCAACATTCGGGACTTTGCGAAAGAGAAGAAAGCTACCTACCTATCCTAAAGAATTAGTGCCGATTTGACAGGTGTAATTAGAGCTTGATTGGCGCGTTACAATGTGGTTGAGTAGCTCGGGTACCACAAAGGGAAGGGCTTGTCGAGTCTGTTTGTTCACGCATTGATTTTTGAGATGGAGAAAATCTTGAGTTTTACTCTTTATTTTTTTATAATGGTTGTATCATTGATATAAACTGTTGTGGTATACCTTCTAGGCCATGTCACCGAAATGTTGAAGCTCCACACCAAGCTCAGCTGCGAGTGTAAGGATCTCTCGCGCGCAATGTGGAGTTTTCAATTACCTCTACTTCTAAGAAAAATGACGAAAACGCAGCATAGTTTCAAGCACAGATTGGGAAAGATTGAAGAACCATTGAATGGAGTATTTTAAAAATAGTTTCAAGAACCGATAAAGGGTTGCTGACATATGCAAGACACCTTTTAGCCCATTACGTACTACCGACCGCATACCTAGTAGGTACATAGGTAGGTAGTAGGTGGGTACAGTGTGTACCTTCCAATCATCCTACCTAGTACCTACCCGAACAGCTGCATAGCACTATAATCGGCCAGGACACAAAGGGGAAAACAATCCCAGCTACCTATATGTATCGAGAAAATTTATTTAGACTGGGCAACATACTACTAAGTAAGGCAACAGTTCAATTTTGATAGTCAAGTACACTCCTTGAAAAATGAACAGCGCCACAACAAAGTTGTCTCCTGTCTGGGAAAATGCCAGCAGGAAACAGAGAAGTTCTATTGGACGAAATGCCCTTCTGCAACGTTCTCAATATTGATACATTTATAAGACGCAATGCGACAGAAATCATGCCTCCCTCTTGTGACTCAGACCGCTTGTACAGCCTCATTGCTTGTAAGACCTAATGCGCGGGACATTTAGGTGGATGACTCCAATGCCGAGAAATTGGCAAGCTAGTCCCACATGGTGCCATTCTAACAAGATCATCTCAGAGATTATCAGGAGAACAAACCAACTATAATGCATGCATCTGTTCCCAATGGACATTGAAAAAGGATTTGAAGATGATACGCATTCCTTCTACTCCGGCTTACTCTCACCAATTCATCAAAGTGACGCGAAAAGCATACGAAACCATTCGGCGCCCATGGATCTCTTCAACTCCCCAGAATTCTCATCCCATGTCGAGTCCCTTCTTGAGGAACATCATGTCCCCGGCATTGCTATTGCTTTAGTGCAAGATGAGCATGTAGCATCGAAGGGTTACGGCTACGCATTGCTCGAGCCACGCAAACCATGCACTGCAGATACACTATTTGACATTGCCTCTTGTTCCAAGTCTTTGACTGCAGCCTCTGTAGCATTGCTCGTCGAGAGCGATGAATATCCAGATGTCAAATGGGACGCAAAGATGTCAGATCTTCTCCCAGACGACTTTGTTTTGTCCGAGGAAAGCTACACAAAAGACGTTACTGTGGAAGACGTTCTCAGCCACAGGACTGGCGTGCCTCGCCATGACTGGTCTTATTTCGGTATTCGGGCTGCGCAGCCCCCCAACACCAGGTCAATCGTCAGGAGCCTGCGACACCTGCCCGTGGCCGTTCCGATCCGATCAAAGCAGATATACAACAACATGATGTATACCGCCGCAGTTCACCTTGTCGAGCAGAAGAGCGGGTTATCGTTCTCCGACTATCTTCACAAGCACTTCTTCGAGCCTCTCGGGATGGGTTCAACTAGTCTCCAGCCGTCGCGTGCCCGAGATAGAGGGTTCGGGGATCGCATTACAGCAGGCCACGCTTGGAAAAAAGATGAGGAAACATACCAAAGTTTTCAAACCCCAGAGTGTCCCGAGGCTGAGGGAGCAGGTTCAATCATCACAAGCGCAAATGACTACATCAAATGGGTCAAGGCAATGATCAACCACGAAGGTCCTATAACTGAGGATGTTATCAATGGCATCATAAAGCCACGCATAATAAATGATATGGATGACGACGATCTTGACCCTTTTACCGACCCCGGGTCCTATGCTGTAGGCTGGGATATCTTCTATTACCGTGGACACAAAGTTGTCACGCACAATGGCGGCGTCCCCGGCTTTGGTACTCGTCATACTTTCCTGCCAGATCACAAGTTTGGCTGCGCTGTCTTTGGAAACTCTGGTTCTGGAGGCACTATCGCAGACATTGTAGTCAAAGAGTTGATCGATGAGATCCTCAAAGTACCAAAAGGTGATCGTGTTGACTGGAACAAAAGGGAGCATGATAATGAAAAGAAGTGGCAGTCGGGGGAACAGGAGAGGCTTGAAAAGCTGCGACGGGAACTGTGCCCCGGAATCAAGGAGTCGCAGCCTCAAACACAGCCTCTCGGCGCATACACGGGCGATTACCACAATGCCGGCTACCATGGCATGACCGTCGAGGTGAAAGATGGGAAGCTGTTCATTGACGCCTCGGATCGGTCCATGGGTTTCTTTGTCACATTTGAACATGTATGTGACCAAACCAAATACCTCATGCACATGAAAGACTACCTGGATGGTGAGGTGTTTAGCAAGAAAGCCGAATTTGTTCTGGAAAACGGCAAAGCCACACGCATGGGTCTTCTGTTGGAAGACAGTCTCGATGATTATATATGGTTTGAGAGACCATGAAAGTCAAGTCTCATTAGCCAACAGATAGCAATTTCTAAGGTGATTGTTTCATAGGGGTAGAAATTAGGGGTATAATAAAACCACGGTCTGATTTGGCTTTGAAAGCATATTTCCAATCATCGGATCTGCTTAGTCTTCAAAACGTGTTTGGAAGCCGCGGGTCACATCTTAATGCAAGCTACTCCAACACGAAAACATGTCTTCGCTTTTTCATGGGATCCCAGGGTGGTCGTTGTAGTCATCGGCTACGGAAATACGCCGGATCGTGATCTGCAGAAGCTCGAGGAGGCGCACCCGACAAGGAGGATTCTAGAGTGGTGTGGACATGGTGGGACGGCACGGAAAATGTTCCTAATCAAGAATATGATTCATTTCGCATAGGTCGGTTGGAGAATTTATAGGCGGCCACATCAACGAATTAGAAGGTACATGCAAACGAGTACCGCAATGGAACCACAAAGTCCGTGCCACTCTTAAGTGGCGTTGGAGTGTTGGAGTCGCCAGGAGAATTTTACAAAATCATGCAATGTAACACACGCGAATGCAGACCGGAATAATTCCTGAGTGTGCCGAGCATCTATTTAAAAGTTTCAATATTCACAACCGGGTTATAGCCACACCAAGTGCCGGCATTGGCACCCTTACATGCATAAATGGAACCTTGTGCAAATTCTCATACAACATCATGAGCTACTCGCACAACGCATGTTTGCTTGATGCATATTCATTCACGAGAAAATATATCTGGAAATCGGAAGCGTATGTACAGCGTACGCGTACTATGCAGTCGCCTTCTTGTCTACCCTGTGGTGCGTCAAAAATCTCCCTACTACTTTCAAAACTCGTTCCCGAAGTCCGCCCTCATCCAAGTGGCAAAAGTGGCTTCCATTTGGAAACGTGATCCATCGCACTCGCGGAATGAGTTCGAAGAATGGCTCCTGTGCTATGTCATGTGACGTATCAAACTCTCCATTGTAGACTAGAGTGTCGGCAGTGATCTGTGGAAGACGCGATATGCCTGTCCAACCGACCAGAGTCCCGATACAGTCAAATAGAGATGGGCCATACCTAGAAAGTAGAATCAATTAGCAGACAGGAACACTAGCCTAGTACAAGATGAAGGACTGGTTGGCGAGAGAGAGAGAGAGAGAGAGAGCAAAAGTCACCAACTTACATAGTATCATAGACTGTAGTGTCCTCGCTCATGGTTTTGAAAGCCGCCATCAACTCTGGCGCCATAGTTGGAGCACGACTCACAAAAGTCTTTGTAAAGACCCCGGAGGCTTCCTTATAAGCTGGGGTATCGGTCTCCCCTTTCGCTCTACCTTCATCGATGACCTTTTGCACATCCGCTGGAAGAGCCTCCTTACACAAGTGGATGCTTTTGATGGAGAGCTCAATGCTGGCGAGCGCACTGGCCAGTACCAGCCTTTGCAGGCCACGAGGCCGAGTAGCAGCAAAGGCGACAGCAAGAATCCCGCCCCAGCTCTGGCCCAAGAGATGGAATCCGGGGCCGTCGTGCAGCTTGAAATGGTCTACCAGGTTGTTCAGCTCAGCGACGAACAAGGACTCTTGCCAAAATTCCTTGTTTCCGGCCATGTCGCGAAGATGAGTTGAACGGCCGCAGCCGACTTGGTCGTAGAAGATAACCGGGATACCATATTGTGGCCAGAGCTTTGCGAAAGGCAGCAAGTATTCATGAGCGCCGCCAGGGCCGCCATGAAGCATCACCAGTGGCGTCTCCCCACTCGTAAGATCTCCGAACACTTTGTAATAGGTCGACCCAGGAGTGTCGCTTTTCCCGGGAATGTCAAAAGGAATATGGCCTTCTGAACTTGGAATATCCGCCATTTTTTGAAATTCTTGCTAAGTTGAGACTGCAGGATATCACATAAACTTGAAAGATCTAAAGCTTGACAAGTTGTGGCTTTTGAATGTCGTTTAAAAGAACAAGAGTTGGTCGCATATGCACAGTGGCTGTTGGTGCGCCATGTCTCCGCTTTAGCTATCTGCATTCCCTGGGATTATGCACGTATGTTAGTTAGTAGGTCACTCAGCATTCAGGGCCCTCCGCAGTAGCCCCAATGGAATCCCAAAAAGAAAAAGAGAAAAAAAAGATCGATTTTGAGCCAACACACAAAATCTCTATTTGAGCTGTGCGCAATAGTACAATTGTTCAGAAGATTGTTCAGACGATTGCGCAGAATGGTTTCTTCAAATGTCTCCAAAGCGAGTGAAATATACTATACTAGACTGTGTATATACAAGAAGTGATATGTACGAGCTAAACATGCGAACCAAGTGTAAACAGATCGGGCCAACTCCGGTAATGACTGTCTGTGCCAATGCACAATTTCGAACTCAAAGTATTCACGATAAGAAGTATATACACTCAAACAGATTCTAGTCGCTCGCTAGGGAACGATTTAGGCGGCAGCGACAACAGGTACGGCCGGCGAATGGTGGTGCTGCGTTCGGCGGTATCGAGGAATGGGGACACCAGCGTCACGCTTGACGGGGCTGTTGGGGTTACCAGCACCGTTGGCGGTCCAGTACTCGGTAAGGGCCTCTTCGACTTGGATGCGCTCACTGTAGGGCTGCTCGAGGGCGAGGCGCTGGACCTTGTCCACAATGGCATCATCAGTAAAGACGCCGCCACGAACCGAAAGGTCAGCGGCATTGTAATCAACGGCGCGCCAGCGGGGGTCCATGGGGTCACCAAAGTCGGTGGTCTCGTTGTAGCCAAAGTTTTGAAGCTGAGTCACGTTGAAGGCAGCCATCATGTCGTGGTCCTCGTGAATCAGGTTGTGGCAGTGGAACATGTAGACGCCGTTCCAGGGGTGGTAGTGAGCCTCGACCAGGACCGTCTCGCCGCGGCCCAGCCACACGACGTCCTTGAGACCCTCGGCCTCGTACGGCTCGACGCCACGGTCGCTGCCGGTGCGCTGAAGTACTCTAAAGTCGACCAGGTGCACGTGGATCGGGTGGCTCCAGCCGCCAGAGCTGTTCTCGAGCTCCCAGATCTCAACGGTACCACGAGGGACCTTGGCCAGGACACGGTTCTCAACGTCCTCGAAGCCGACACCGTTGATGAGCCACTCGCCGTTACTGCGGTGGAAGCGGAAGTGGTGGTCAATGCCGGTAGTGGACGGGGGAAAGGGAACATCGCGAAGAACAGCAGGGACAGTTGAAGGGTCATCGACACGAGTAGAGCCAACAACAAAGCGCATAACCTTGTCAGTGTTCTCGTAGTCATCGTCGACTCCGATGCCACCAGCTTGCTCTTCATTTCGCATCTCAATGGATTGCCCGGCAAAGGAAGAAAAGTCAAAAACGATTTCATAGCGCTCGGCGATCGAGATGTACAGTTCATCAACGCTGACTGTAGGATGGTCAGTCCACTTTGCAATAATGGTTGAGAATGTCATGATGGTTCCTACCTGGATGTTCCAAGAGACCAGCATCAGAGGCAATGACTTGGAAAGGCAGTCTGGCGCCCAGGTTTGCACTGGTAGCAAAGTACAGGGCGAAACTGCGAGAGATGGCAGAGTTGAGGAATCGGAATCTGTACTTTCTGGGCTCTACGTTGAGGAAGGGCCAGGGCTGTCCGTTGACATGGATGACATCTCCCCAGGTGCTCTCACGCTCGTTCACAGTCGTCTGAAGTGTGCCATCTGAGTTGTAAAACTTGGCCGAGAGGATCAAGGGAATGTCGAACTCGCCATAGCCAGAGGGCAGACCAAGGACGTCTTCGGCTTCATCCGTGACAATGTAAGCTCCAGCTTGGCCAAAGTATGCATTTTCAGCAGTCTATAAAGTGGTTAGCGAATTTTCAACAGGTTGTGGGTTAAGTGAACTCACAATACCCAGCGCATGGTCGTGGTACCTGAGAGTGCCCACAGTTAGTAGTGCAATTTGAACAGGTTTTTATGACAATGGTTCTTCGACTACTTACCAGAGTAGGCGTGCCGACTCAAAGTTGGGATAGTAATAGTCCTTGTATTGTCCAGGGAATGTCACGTCTTCCGCCCAGCCATCGAATGGGGCGCGGGATGGAGACCCGTGGAGATGGACAGAGTTCTCGCGTTCAGCTTGATTGATGAAACGAACGACGGATTCTGTGCCTCTTGGGATCACAAAAGTTGGACCTGGGGAGATTCCATCATAGCCAACCAAGCGGGCAGGGCTCAGATTGGGATACACCTGCTGCTCAAAAGGCTTTATCTCAACTTCGTAGTACCAAATGTCCTGGCCAGTCACAGGATTGGTGATGATTCTAGGTTTGTTAGCTCCACTTTACTTTTTTATCGACCCTTATGGATGATTGGACTAGCATCGGCTCAAGTGAAACTATCCACAAAGGATGGGAGACGCACAGGATTTTACATTGAGGAGAAACACACAACATGAATATTCGCACCAAGAAAATTCGCACTAGGGAGGTAGGTATTGATCGCACTGGGTAATGGGTACACTCTGGACCTAAACGTACTTTTTTGGCTGCTTGACTGGAGGGATGGGAAGAGGAACACCATAGATCAGAGGATACTCTGGACTTTCTCCATCCTTTTGGATTCTGAATACATCGTTGGGATCATCCTCCACGATCTGTGAAAGGGCTTCCGCCTCTTCAGGAGGGATGACCGATTCATAGGTTTGTGCACAAGAGAGTGACAAGAGGCAAGAAGCGAGAGCAAACAAGGTAAGCCCTTTAGCCATGATGGGCAAAGGAATAGAAAGAATGAATGTCGATGAAGTCTGTGTTGATGCTGAGGGAAAAGTCCACTTGAACCTGGGAAGACATGTCTGCTTTTATAGAAGTCAAGAACTATCTCGGAGTTGGGATCATGAGTATAATGGATGAGCTGGCCTCTCGATGCGAATCGAGTCCATACCTCCTGACCGAGTCTTGCACATGAGACCCGGTGAAGAGCAGAGACCTCTTGCTCTCTACTTCGCTTAGAGTCCGAATGTCGTTTTGGGATAATGACTCCTGAAATCATCCCTTGATCACGCGTACATATTATCGAGACCGGGCGAAGTGGGCTCAGATCCTGGCTGGCTTCACACACCCACTCACACTTTTTTCTTCTGGGAACTTTGTCAAGATGCCTCTTTGAAGCACGAGAGCTGTCCTATACGCCGGGAGACTTGAGGAGAGGGGAGTTCTCCTAGTACCAATCTTCTCCGGCACTGTTAACATGATTTCTCTTTAATCCAATTTGAGATGATTCAAAATGATATGGAATCGAAAGTGTCAGACTGAATCTCTAGGATATCTCCATTCCACAACCTGAGGACGATAATGTGCGGCTGGTGAGGATTATGCAACAAGTTCAGCCCCAATAAGCATTAGTCACCTTTTGCAATTTCACGTGAGTTGGAGGGACGTTGCCCTGCCTTGCATTCGTCTTTGCGTGTTTCGTAAAATATTTCTCCATGTGGCCATACTTTGCCAAGTTGGATTGCAGCCACAATCCACCAGCATTACTCATCTATGGTCTTAGTATTAGACGGATTCCCCACTTAATTAAGTAAATTGAATGTTCATTTCATTCAAGTCACTGATCAAGATCACCACGAAAATGCGCAATGGTAGCATCGTTGGTTTGGTCGGACAGTATAATGCTCCGACTGGGTTGGAGAGGTTGTCTCACCATCCGGGAATGAAATTTCGTGAAATGCTGCTATTCTTGGTATCTCTCGATCATCGTGATTATTTCCGTTTTGGAGCCATTTTTCTTTGCACCAAATGTTTGTATGCAAAGGTGTCGGAGATAATGCTCAATGTAAGCGAGCTGTTCCTGCATTCATGGCTGATTCCCGACAAAGTTTACAATTCCAATAAAGATTGCGAGATCCTGGTAAAAGCTTCAGCTTACAAGAGATGGCCAAGCTTCTTGACGAAGTCTTGGATTGTCCGACGTTTGCCAATGCTCACACCAAGATGACATACAGCCAACGGTTGCCCGCGGCGGGGGTGTTGGATTCAGGGTGCCAAGAAGAGAGCCAAGTGATTGGCTGCATATATTGACTTGGCAGGCAAATAGATCAAGTTTGGAGAGCCCCGCGGGCCGCCCCCCGGGGGTCTCATCCTGGGGTACCATCACTCAAGGGCCCAGGCGCAGTGCGGACGCACCCGCGGTATGTCGGTTCTTGTGATTCGCTACCCCAAGTCCGGGAAGAATATTGTAGCATTCCACGGCATAGGGGGTGGAGCCGCCTTTTTTCATGTAACGCTGCGCTATACTTCGATGAATTGGGAACAGTATATATCTCGTTGGGGAGAAATAGTCTTTGTTTAGTGCCCCCACCGCGTGCATCGGAAAGAGTCAGGGAAATAAGGCATAGGACTGCTGACCTGAGCTGTAATCATGTGGAATACGGGCTTACTTTTCTGCCTATTAGCTGGGCACAGCTTCGCCCTGCTGAACAATCCTTCCAATTCACGGAAAGCTATCCGTCCATGAAATGTGGCTTGAACCGTAAAGTTCAGCGGCTTATAGGCAGACGCATGCAGGGATATTCTCCGACCACACCACGCGGGATCCCTGGTAGCGATGCGGTGCACTTGACTATACCTGTGGGTGGCTGAGGTAAATTGTGTTTGGAGGCTCACGAGAGAGATGCAGGGGTATCCTCCGACCACACCATGTGGGAATCCTTGGAGCGATACTCTTGGCTATAATACTTGGCAACGCAACTCGTTTATCAAGCACAACTCCTCATTGCTCGAGTCAATCCGGCCCCTGAAAGATACGAAAAGGACAAATCCCATATGATCAATAATGCATTCCCTCAAAGATCAGGACCCCTGCCAGCAGATTCCGGGTCACGACAATTCTGCAGCCTGAAGACAGTGATTCTCAAACTCCATCATTCCGATTCCCCTGTCAGAGTGGTATTCGGCACAAGATAATACAACATATTGACTATACGCCAAGAGTATCGTGGGCATCTTATCCAGGTTATTGTAATCATGACAAACAAGTTTCCATACTCCAGTGGTATGTGAGTGGATCTTGAATTACTCAGTCGGGATAAAGAAGCTTACCGAAGGGGCGCCTAAAGCGCGTGAACTGTAGAAAGGATCACAAGACTCACGATGGGGTGCGTTTTACGCAATCTCGCAATTCTTTTTGCATCTGCTCGGAAGCCGTTAGGCGAAGTCCAAGAAAGAAAAATCATGATTGTTGAGAAACATGGTCCACGAAGGAGTCCTACTAGTCGACTCGGGGACGCATCGCCGAAAAAACATACCACGTGTCTTGAGAAAAACGGAGACAGGTCTATAAAGGAGCAACTATTGCCACCTGAAATCAAGACCTTTCTTCATCCATCTCATAAAACCCCAGATCCATCACATCTATTTTCTCTAATCATTTGTGAAGATGCTCAAGTCGCCATCCCTCCTCTGGGCTTTCTTGGGTGCCCAAGTCCTTAACATGATTCCCTTCATTGCTGCTCAGGATGCGCCGTTGTTCATTCAGGGTGGCCTCGAGGCCGCTGTGGCGAATGACGACTCGTACAACACTGGCGGCTCCATCTCCATCAATGGCTTTGACATGGTCGTTCCAAAGAACATGCTGGTCCAGTTCCCGGCTGCCTACGTTCCATGGAAGGACTTTGCTTCAGAGGTTGACAGTCTGCTTGGGTATGAGGTCAATGTGAGTTAGGGTGCGGCTATATTCGATATCCAGTGCGAACACCACCCGCCACAACATCATGTGCGGCTTTCCAGTGCGATCTTTTCCAGTGCGATTCCCAGTGCGGCCTCCCAGAGACCATCAGAAAGCAAGGAATTTTGGTTGAAAAAAGAAGAATAAAGAGAAAATTTGGATGGAGGGATCATCATGCTATACACTATAAGCAAACTGGACATTACTGAAACCTTGGTCTTTTTCCGCCCGCCTTAGGTCATTGGCAACTTTGTCAACAACGTGCCCACGGCCGGACAAATCATTGCGTACGAATTCTTCGAAGGACTATCCAGTGGCTTTGTCGAGTCCATTGACTTTGAAGACGGGAGCATGAAGATTCGCGGCGGGCCCACGCTGCGCATCAGCGATCCCAATGCCGTCTTTTCGGTGGGCTACGCCGACGCTCCCTTCTTCACGGCCGACGACGAGAGTCCTAGCATTAGCTCCTTCTCCGGCTTTCCCATGTGCATCCCCCGCAACGCGACCGACCCACTGTGCCCGTCCACCAATCGTCCCTTTCAGGGTTCTGGTACCTTGTGAGTTATACGGCGAAGAGTTGGCGGCTGTGTCATATTGATATCTAACTCCGACAAAGTGCTGCGCCAGATCCTTTGAGTATGGCGCCCTTTCTGCCTGGTGACTTCATTACGTGGCAGGGCATTCGCAGAGGCAATGAAATGATCTGTTTCAGTATCGTTGCTCAAAATGTCCAAATCACCACGACCGTTGACCTTGTCTACGTCCGTATGGAGTTGGCACTCTTGGGTATCGACAACTTCAATACGAACACGGAATTGAGAGAGTCCCGAGTAAGTAATGGATCTTTTTCCTGAGCTGCTTGCATCTGACCCGGGTTAGTTCATCGGCTTTGTCTCCAACGCTCGAGCTACTGCCAACTTGTACGCCATGGACTACGATCCGTGTACAGGAAACGTGACAGATCGCCTCATCGCCTCTGTGGCACTGAGGAATGGCCGCAACGAGCAGAATCGATTTGAGTACCGCGCCGACATCACCACTGGCTACGCCAGAGATTACCGCGCAATAGCACAAATTGACGGTGTACCTAAAACTCGCCTTACAAAGCAGGGCCTTCTCGCTGGAGCTTATGTACAGCCAGTCAACGTCTGGGTTCAGGCTGAGCAGCTGATTCCCGGCACAGCCCCGCCCGGCAACGACTTCTCTCAGATGCCCTGGCTCGTTCGAGGTGTTGGTGTTGATGAGCTCGGCAACGTCTGGGGCCCACTCGACCCTTTTCCCCAATCCGGTGTCCTCATTGACCCTATTGTCTGTGAGTAAACATTTTGAAAGACTGACAAGCCTTTCAAGTCAGGAAATGTATATAGTTCTTGGGCTTGCAGATTCACTCTCAAGTCAGTTTCAGTGTGCATATTTGATAATTGTTTATATTCATATGGGTCGTGTCCTGGTGGAATAACTGCCTGCGTACCTAGGTAGTTATGCTTCACACAAGCCGCCTCGAGGCTTGACCCCCCTTCTGTATATAGTTTTGGTATTTTGGTAAGCTAGGACGCGTGTCTCATAAATATTGAATGCAACCCCATATTTTGAGAAGTTGCACCACTGCCATATCATGATACCAGATCATGATGTTTTATTGACCGGTCAGTGGAAGTAAGCACCAATAAACATGGGACTTGTCTTGTTATAACCAGGCGCAGTCTTCGTGGTGGTCACCGCAGGAAATGGCCGAAGCTGTCAGTTGTGGGTCCACGTGAGTGTCGATCATTGATTGTCTTGGTAGCTAGTGGCCTACACGTTTGCCACTCATGAAGAAATCAAGGTGCTTGATGAACCATATCAAGTCCTTCTCACACTTGTTTCGGGTCAATCCCCAATTGGAAATTTAGATTTTAGGGAAGAAAGATCTACCCTTGGCTTGAGCAGCAGCAAGTGCACCGCGAATGCCGTGCTGGGACAGCACGCCATCAATACGGTGTGTTGCATTCAGGTTCTTGACCACGACAAACTGGAAGCAAGTGGCAGATCCCTGGCGCGAGGCAATAGTGGACCAAGCAAGGAACAACTCCCAGATACGGTACCAATGCTCACCAAACTTGGCGCGAACGGTCTCGGCGTTGCCAACCCAGTTGCGGTACCAGCGCCACAATGTACCAGAGTAGTGAACTCCGACCGTGTCAATGCTGGTGAACAAATTAGCTGCTGTCAGGTGACATGACGCATATACATTGCAGGACTATGACTCACCTCTTGACTTCAAAACCAGCACTCTCAAGGCAGCTGACGTAGTACCAGAGGGGGGTAGAAGCATCGGCACCAGGAAAGATGAACTTGTTCAGGTACAGACCCCAGATCAAATCCTCGTACTGCCATGCGCGGCGCAGACCAGAGAGCTGAACATACATGGCACCATCATCAGCGAGCATATCAGAGCATTGGCGGAAGAAACCGGTCAGCTTCTTGATACCGACGTGCTCGCCCATCTCGATCTGAGAAATCTTGTTGAACTTTTGCTCAGGAATGTCACGGTAATCGGAGCACAAGATGCGGCCACGGCTCTCTGGAACTCCGGATCGGCGAAGACCATCGTTACCCCAAGCAGCCTGGTTGGGAGAAATGGTCACACCAGTGACATTTGCACCATAGTTGACAGCAGCGAAACGAGCCAATGAACCCCAGCCGCAGCCAATGTCCAAAAGCGTCTCGCCTTCCTTCAGGTCGAGCTTCTCGCAGACAACGGACATCTTGTTGTCTTGCATCTCCTCGAGCGTCTCTTCCTTGGAGGGGTCAGAGATGATACCGCTGGTGTAGACCATGCGAGGACCCAGGAAATAGCTGTAGTGGTCGTTGCCCGCGTCGTAAGTTGGCTTAATCTGCTCCTCATCCTGCTCACGAGTGTGAAACAAGACGCTCTTTCCAAATCCAGCAAAGATGAACTTGAAAAGGTTCCAGGTGAAAGCCCACGAGGCCCAGTCATGGCGATACTCGAGAATGTCAAGGGCATCACCGTTGAAGTCCACTTCGCCATCGAGATACTTCTCAATAAAGTCCTCCATGGGAATCTTGGAGGAAGCGGTGTTGTAGCGGGCGCGGTCTTCATTCTTCTTGAATGTGAGGTATTCCTCAACTGGTCGACCGGGCAGCTTGGCCTTGGTGTTGATCCTCGGAGAATTGCGCGAGGTGACGTACCAGACGCTGACGAGAATTGGCACAAACAGCACAACGAAGAAGAACAGCGAGGTCCAGAAGCCACCGCCAAGGAACCAGGCAAGCGAGATCGGAACACCGACGAGGAGGCCGCCGAGGGTCATGAGCGGGAAGGAGTCATTGCCAGAGCCTTCAGCGGGGAGGGGAGCATTCGGGATAGCAGCGGCCTGAAAGTGCAACGCGTGTTAGTAAGTGTGCATGGCATTGAGTTGCACGGGACAGTAGGCAATACAATACTTGCATTTGTTGTTGCGACACCACAGTCGGTGGACTTGAACTTGGAGGGCTGAGCAGGAGGGGTCTGGATGAAGGACATGTCGCCCTCCAGCTGCGGGCCATTTTTCTCTTGAGCTGCCATGGTGGGCTGACGCGTCAATTGGCGACGAGACAGTTCGTGGAATTGAGGCACGACAGACGAGTGGGAGGATGGGAGATGAGAAAGAGGGAAGGGGTGGAACAGGCTCTCTCCTTGGACAAGTTTGCGAAACAGATCAATTGATTCCCCCAGGGACACGACACCTGTCCGGCTCCTGGTCAAAAGATTATGCGATCCCGCGCGCGTCGCCGATAAAGAACTGATAAACCTGGAGGGGAGACGGGACCCCTTGGGAGTTTGTTCAACAAGGGACTTGGGGACCTGGACCTTTCCAGCCTCCCATGCCAATCCAATGCAATAATCCACTGCTGCAGTCCAGCCAAGTCCAACCTCTCTGCCTCTCTCAACACAGTCGTAGGGTGATCGTCAGCTATGGGTCCCCGGCTTTTCGCTTGAGCCCCTCCAGCCCCTCGACGAAAGCGTTATGCCTACCTGGGTTAGTCCCTGCGCTAAGATAGCGGCAAGATAACGCAAGCGCCCTCGGCACAGCTGGCGGTGTGTGAATTTTAAGCCTCAGATTGAATAAGCCAAAACACACGTGGCATATGATTGGTAGAAGGCACACCGACCCTCAAGCTCGACGAGATGATGCTGGTGATACAATGGTGATAAGACCATTCGCAGCTCAGTCAATGCTGGGCAGTCAGTCAGAAAGTGTTTTGCAAGTTTAGACTTCTCGCCCCGAATATATAAGGCCAACACGACTTCAGAAAGCTTCAAAGGAGGGAGACATGGCCCCCATTGAGCTCGGGAAGGGACACATCATTCGAATCCCAACATTTCCAACCTAGATCATTTGAGCTTGTGATTGCGGAGATCATTGGACCCTCCCAGCGAACTTGGCAAACAGCAGCCGCTCAAAACAAAAAGCCCGATTTTAGGAAATATGGCACCAATTGCCAGATTGCACAGCAAGCCACATTCCGAGGCCAACCGCTGATGATAGCACGGCAAAGTGATAAATTACGCATCGTTCCAGGCCTCATTTGATAGTGATGATAATGAGGAGGTATCGGCCCGACGGACCAATAATTAGATACTATAAGTCGAAACCACCGCAATCTAGCGTACTTCTTCCAATCCATTGTGATGTTGACCTCGTGATCTGCTTTAAATGGCATTGAATGTCCTATATATAATTTGACTGTTGCAGTAACTATCACATACGACCATAGGCGCTAGAATACTCGGCATCCCGTCCGCTCTGCCCTAGATAAGCTGGCGACCGCCGGATCAGTACTCAGGTCGGTGACGACTGGGGAATCCCCGGTGTTGTATGTTTTTTTGCAGTTTTTATTTACTCTTTTTGTCAAGTGCTTGTTTACTTTATCTAACTTTGTTTTTGTTTCCATATCATGCTCTAAGAATCCGTTACTCACCTGGAAGTGAGCTGGGATAAATATCGTTTCAATGTTGTTAAAGTCACGATAACTCTTGCTGTTTAATAATTCGCATTAATCACCAATCCCAGCTGTTGTAAGATAATCCCTAATTTTTTAAGTATTACCCATTCAAGACACAGAATATATTGATCATTATCCACCGTACACCAGTCTAAGATATACATAATAAGCACGAAAGCTGAAATCAATTGCGTCGCCAGCACTGAAGGTATGGATTGCGTCTGCCGCATATAGGAAATGACCGGCGAAACGGGAAATTTGCGGCTTTATCAGCAGGAGTGAAACTTTGCTTTTTACAGCTCAAATTTTTTATTCTCCCGAATATTCCGATATTCGCTGATTACCGTTCTCTTCTTCTTCAATCGAATATCTTCAATAAACAGTCATCTTGTGCATAGTAGACAGACCCAATTTGTTCAATGTCGTATCCACAACGGTCTCCTGCAAGTATCTTCTGCCTCCGGCCATAAGGTTTATAACACGTCGTGGAAGTAATTGTTTTATTATTTTGTGCGTCTGAGTGTCGAGCCCGGTCGCAATGCGGATATAAGGTCGATGTCATGGATCTGTGATCCGCCTTCTGCATGGTGGGTGGGCCATGACAAGTCAACAAAACCACCACGCAGAAATGAATCCACCATTGCTGTGGGTGAGTGTAAATATCTGCCACCCACTTGATACGAGTCGGTTCACGTATCATTTGTGGTCATCGTAGACCAAGAAAGCTCGCGACAGTGACCTCCCGAAGCCATCGTATCATCATGAGAACCTTGCGACTGTGGGATGAAGCGCGCAGCGACTTCGAACAAAGCGCCCGCCAACAATACACAGATCCCAAAGATCGGGCGTGTTCCTACACGTCGACAACAAGCACTTAACCCTACGGGATGCTCCTCAAATTCGCAAGTTCTGTTCTGTTCCAATAGACAAGGTGGAGCCCGAGGACTTCCTAGAGGATGAGGTCTGCATCCGATGCAAGGTGACTCTCGCCGAGTCCCAACCTATCAGAATTTCCCCGGCGGAAGGTCATTTACAGATCTCCTTGATGTGTTTCCGCCGCACCTAGTCTTTCGGAGGCGGATGATGGTATCTAGTGAAGACCGCTACGAGTATTCGAGCTGGGCCGACCATTTGCGCAAAGCTGAGACACTTTGGAAAATGGATAATAGGGCAGACCATAATGACTGGGCTTTGGTGTATACTGAGCTCGAGCAACTGTTCAATCTCAACCCTGGCGATGAGGCAGGTCAAAAGCTTTTCAAGTTGTGGTACAAAAGCACAATCGCTCGGGAAATATCACTATCCAGTCTCCCGCCCATGCACGTGGCAGCTCCGTTGGGTTTGTGTGGCTGGGCAGAGCACCTACTCAAGAAGAGGCAAGCAGACCCCAACGAGTCTGTTGAGCTTTTTCACATAGTGTTTGAGGGGCCGATGGCTTTTTATCCCCTGCTAGTCGCAAAAAACATGCCAATGCTCCGATTGTTGCTGGAAAACAAAGCCGACATAAATGTCGGCAAGGAGAGTGCGCTGCCAATTTTCCTGAGCTTAATGTTTCAAGACTCGAGTCTTGAGTCGCTGAGATTGATGCTGCACCACGGAGCTGATCCTACGGTGTCATCATTCCATGGCTTCGATGCGTTTCACCTTTTCGCAGCAGTGGGAGATGACCCAGAGGCGTTGCAGCTCTTGCTTGACCATAGCCCGCCCGACCACAAACTCGGCATCAATGCTGCTGCTACCGACGAGTCGGTGCAAAATTTCACGCCACTGCACATTCTGTTTGCGAGGAAGGATGGAAACACACCTATAAACTTGCTGCGAGCCTTTGTGGAGTTCGGAGCAGACGTGAATGCGGAAGATTCTCAGTCAATGCGGCCGCTCCAGAAGGCAAGTGCTTCGGGGGATCTCGAGGTGCTCAAACCTCTGTGCGAAAACCACAAAATCTCCGAGATTGATGATGGGGGCTCTGGAGGTAGGACCGCGCTCCACACAGCGGCCGGAAATAACCATGCAGATTGCGTCCAGTTCCTGCTCAGTCTAGGTGCAAATGCCACAATAGCAGATGCGAATGGCAGCACCGCGTTGCACGTCGCTACATCTGAAAGCCAAGTCGACGCCGTTGTCTGAGGCAAGCCGGCTCGGGCTAAATGAGATCGTGGCACGGCTGATTCAGATGGCCGAGATTGACAACGATAGAGCAAGCCTGGTCATTGATTTGCAGCATAGTGACACGGGCATGACGGCTCTCCAACGGACTGCGGAATCGGGCCAAGATAGCTGCATTCGTCTGCTCTTAGAAAATGGTGAAGACTTCACGTTGTTGGACAATTCGGGAAGAACAGCACTATTCATCGCGCAACAGGAATGGTCTCGAGGCGCCATCCAGCATTCAGCTTCGCACATCCTGGAGCTAGTTATTGAGCGGGATCTAGAGAGTGCCATCTGCGACGATGACTTGAAAGCCACCTGTGCTATGCATGACAATGTGGATTTGCTCGAGCGTTTGAAGCAACATGGCGCTGACTTTGGCGGTCGGGATTCCCATGGCTGGACGTCGCTGGAGCTGGCCCGCGCGTTTCAACAGACAGAGGTTGTTCGCTTCCTGGAACGCCAGGACGCCTAGGAAGACACAGGTCCATCGTTCTGGAATGCCTATTTTGTGTATGACTCCACGAAGATCTCGGAGGATGGGCTTTGTGTCACTCACGTGTCAGAAAACCGCGTTTGCATCGCGACGAACAAACCTCTGCCACCCGGTTTGGGCCGATTCTACTATGTGATTACCCTGGAGGAACCAGAACAATCCCCCTAAAACACCGAACAGTTGCCCGAGGTTCCAGAACACCCCATCGTTGCCATTGGCTTTGGTACAGTGCATGACGGAGCCGTCATAGAGTTTCCAGGCTGGAAGGCAAGCAAACGCGACAGCGCCAGACGCCCGCAGTTGGGGATACCATGGCGATGATGGCGGTCTATTCGATAGCCAGACGTCAGGGTCAAAATCAATCATTCACGAGCAGAAGTACAAGCCTGGCATGACCGTTGGTTGCGGCGTAGAGATTGAAAGCAACACCATGTGGTTAACACACGAGGGGCGCAAACTCCACGGTAAGTTTTACAATGTCCGTGGGCGTTTGTTTACCCTACTGGGCTTGAAGGACCCCATTGTACTCAGGACCAATTTCAAGGGACCCTTCATGTGGAAAGATGCGAACAAGATGGAAGCAGACGGGCAAGATGAGCACGAGAGTGGCATAAAAGCCAGAAAGCCCGTGCGATCGTTGACAGCTCCGAGATAAGAAGACCAAGTCAACTGAGTATTTTGAGGCAGAACAGACTTATGACTATGTATATAGACAACAATGGAGATCAGCTCTGCCTCAAGTAAAACAAACCTAATCGACCAACTTATGCCGATGAAATTATATGGCATGAATCTTACGATCAGTATAAGGATGGCATAGATAGACATTGCGAGCCCTGGAAATAGGGAAGGCTAGGAAAAATAAGTAAATTTAAATTTTCAAGTCCAACAAAATATCCTTTCATCTAGTGCTTCTGCGGGAGCCAGAAATGAACTTGCGAACCCTGCGATTTCGCAATTTGCAAGGTATGGTACAATAATTATTTCGCAGCCGTGCTCATTACATTATAGGACTTTCAGGACAGCGAATGTTACAATGGCGAACCCAATGCTAAAGCTCAACGTCGTCCCGCTTAGCGATGTCCCCAGGCTGCGCTCATTCTCACTGGCCATGGCCACACCATCGCCGTCCGCGTCCCGTTCTTCAAGTTGAGTTGTGTTAACACGCATGCAGTGTAACTCAGGTCCCCCAATGTACTCATTGCCGTTGCCCGTAGGTATCTGCGCATTGAACATGAGAATGTGCAGCTTGTTCACTGCTAGGAGGTAATCGTCGCTGAGACTGCCGTTCAAGTCCCTCAGAATGTCATACTTGAAGCCCTTGCCATTGGTCCACGGCCTGCTGGTCTCATTGCTGCTAGCGTCAAGGCCGCCGAGGGCATAGCCTGTGCCGTCCATGCCCCAGTCGGCTGCGTCTCCGAGGGAGTCCTTGCAGGCCGACAGCAAGTTCCACGGTTCTGCAGGACTACTGCAATAGCTGCCGTTGCCCGCCGCGCTGATGGCGCCGCGCTGCAGGATGGCGGCGACGCAATCTTGGCCGAGCGCGGGTACGCAGCTGGTGCTATTGGCGTCGTCTTCAGTGTACCCGTTCAGGACGCTGACGGGGAGGTCCAGGCTTTCCACAACGCTCATGCAGAAGCTCGAGTTGGCGCCGTCCAGAGCCTCCGAAAGGTCGTCCCCATAAGGCCACGTGAAGTCATATGTTGTGCTGACCACATGCGGGTCAGCGAGGTCATTGTCTTCTACCTTGGGGGTTGCGACGTCGCTGATGTTGACTCCTGTAAAGTATGACAATTAGCAGTCAGATCCAGAGAAAGACACCGCACTCGTGGTTACCTACGCCACGTCCACTCCGAGTTCCGCACTACCGAGTCTTCTGGCAAGGAAGACCAGTATTCTTCCAGCATTCCAAACTTCACAGAGCGTGTAACCGTAGGATTACTTTTTGCGTCGATGACCGGGTCCCTTATATCTTTATCAAGTTCTGTCATGGAAGTTTCAAACCATCCTGACACCATGTTGGTGAGGTCAGCTACCGCAACCGTTGCCAGGAGCGGGATTATGACCAAGCTTCGGGACATTTTGACTGGACGATGTTTATTTTTCTGTTTTCTTTTCTTGGTAGCGACGACAGCAAAGGAAATGGTGTGTTCTTTCTCTTCCTTCTGACTTGTCCGATGAGAAGATTAGCAAGCCAAAGATTTATTTCAATGAAAGGAAGAAGAAAAGTCTGACTTGAGCGAAGGCGAGTGCATGCACTTACGAATGCTAAAGACCAATCGTAAGATCACCCAATTGGACCCAGTTTGCTCCATTTCCAAGCCTCATGATGTATGCCAAGTGGCACAGCGAGGCAGTTTGATGTGATAATGTGAAGATCGACAAAGGAGTGCATGGTTTGATAGAAATACTGACCAAATGATAAGCTTAATGATGAGGCTCGATAATCCATGTACCAACAGTTTGAATACAGCTGTGCTATCCGCTGGAACCACAAGGATGTCGCCTGAGTATGGAGAATCTGTGGGCTGGCTTGCTTTCTTCGTTATATTCGCATTGTTCTTATGGGTACGTTGCCCACTAATGGCAATTCCCGGCAGCTTTTTTATATATGAGGTAAAAATTCAATAATTAGCGTGTGTCACGGTGCACGCCTGTCAATGGGCTATGCACCAATTGTAGTTTATTTTATGTGAGATTATCAGATATCTAATATGCCGGTTTCGCGCTTGACGGGATCGGGGATCTACCTGAATAGTACCATATCTAGTAGGCGCGACAGCGAGACAGATTCTGACCATTGTATCTCGAATTATTCCTAGCTACCTTAGTGTACAGTAAAAAACAGACTCTACAGAAAGACCGAAGCAACCAAGACAGGAAATGGCTCAACAAGACAAGCTTGGTCCTCATTGTAAGTGGTTCACTTCCATACCCACCAGCTGGTGATGAGTGATTGATGGTCAACATCTGGCCGAGAGCTGCATTTGTCTCAACTTGCGACAGAGCTGTTCCTGGCCCTTATCCTGGCCATTCTCGGAATCAGCATCAGAACGAAAGCAGGCCAGAGCCCAATGCGTTCCTGCTTCCTGTCGTTCTACACCTAGTCAGTTTTGCAAAGCACGATCGACATGCACCGATGTGGAATTTAAACGGGGTTCGTTTCTCGTCCCCACTTTGAGTCTGACCGGCAAGACATGATCTTTCGCTGTTTCATTGATAAAGTAATCTAGGAGGTACATATGTTGAAGTAATCTCCAAGCAAGTATTACACACAGGACACTATCTACCTCTCTCCGAGCGGTCATCAAAAACACATAGACCAGTAACCGGCACTGCCGACGAGCGGCAGTAGCATGTTCACTATCTCGCACGCAGGGTGGGACATCTGCGGCCGTCGCAGGATCAGAATATGCTGGCGAGGAATATCACGCGTAATCACTTGGACTTCATGGTGGCGCTTATCTGTCAGCTCAGAGAGCGTTAAGACATTACATTCCCAGGCACAAAGCACGGCGAAATGGAAACCGCGTAGTCAATGAAGAGGAAGGGCAGACGATAGGAAGAGGAAAGGAAGATGACTATGCTTGTGGTTCTAGAAGGTGACAAGAAGTGTTTCCTAGACAAATGCGGACATTTCTGACGTAGATTATGTCATGGCCAGCAGCTATACATCTTCACTTGACCTCATCATTCCATGGCCCGAAAAGCCAACTGGACGGGAAGCGGGAAACTTTTGGCTGCATCAACTGCTTTGGGAGAATGCCAGCCCCCCAAAATACAAAATGGCCCGGGTACTATACCTAGGGTATGGCGAGTTCAATATGCTCGTAAGCTGGGCAACAGGCTAATCCTAATCGTAGCCCATCTGACCTAAAAACAAGAATCAACGGACCCATTCCGCTATGTGAGGCGGCTATACAAGTCTTAAAGCTGAATGATCCCGAGAAATAAACTTTAAACTTAATCGCCACCAGCCTACTTTCCAGCAAGTCGCAGTGCCTGTGTGAAACCTTTTATTATTGTTGGATGCACATTAGAACTTCATCCATCCATTAATGCTCGTAAGTAAACGTCTTTGGTGGGCCTACCATACTGTATGATTGAATATCGCAACTAAACTCTTCTGAGACAATGGTGTTCCGCTATGAGAGCTATGATACAATTTTTGTCCTTGCGTCTGGTTAGCTGCCTATTAATCACAAAAATTTGAAGCTGGATGATAAGTTCATGAGAGATTAATCGAGCGTGGTTTGTGGTCTGAATTAAGTATAAGCATCGAATTAGTCCCTAAGAAGTGAAAGCTTTCAACATAATCCGTCACAGTTCCTAATATTTTTATTTCATCGGTTTACATAATCAGCATAGCTCTTTAGGTAGGGATTGTAGGTCCTTAGGATTCGGTTTTCACCTTTTTCATAATAGTAATGACAAAGCAAAAGATTAATTCTCCATTATTTACTTTAGATCTTCCGTCTTGGACCCTTCCCACATTTACCGCCACGGGTATTTTAGCGTAGAACCCTGAATTTCAGCACGGAAATAGAGACGAATAGCGATGCGTTATAGGGCGGCAACCTGCATGATCAAGCCTCGATATGCGTCCTCGCCCAAAGCTTTAACCACCCAACCTTAATGGTACACCCTCCATTACTTTCTATTTTCAACGATCATTAACAGCTGGTAAGACCTTTTACGCCGGATACTTATTAACTTTGTGGCTGCAATTGAGTCTTGAGACCACGAGAACCTTGACAGGGCTGAACCCTTTGGCGGAACTGCAACTTTACAAAGATCCACGGCTGCTTAGCATATGTGAGTACGGCGGATGTAACAGCATATTCATTATACACAAAAGTCTAACTGCATATTTTAGTTTTCAGCTATTTAAACCAGCATTGCACCCACTCGTTTATAGCAACACCGATAACTACAAGCTTCTCAGCTTTGGCACTTTTCTCTCTCAAAGTCGTAAAAATGAAATCCGTCTTCTTATTCTCTACGCTTCTTCTACTTGCTGTGGCGTCTGCGGCACCAGAACCAGCCCCCATACCGCAGTTGAGCGGCGGAACCATCACTTGCAATATCCGAAGCACTTGTGGATCCGGCCCCGTTCCGTATCGACAGACTGCTTATGTCAACGGTCAGATTCTAGGATATTATGCTCCTGGGACTCGGCTGAGTCTGAGCTGCTACAAGATCACAGAACCTGGTGGCTGTGGCGATAGCAAGTGAGTTGATCATCGAATCCTACTTATACTTAATAAAGGCTTGAACACGTTTAACAACTGTCTAGCATCTGGTACAAGGAGGGAAGCCGTGGTGGCTATGTGCCCTCTGCTTGCTTTGAAGGCTGTACAGGAGGTAAGTTGGGCCTGACCGCATTTTATATGCATGCAGCCCCTCCTACTATTTACTAAAACTATGGCCAGGTGGCTCCGGGGGAATGACTAAATGTTAATTGGGTGAAGTAGCTTATAAGATTACTAGACAATCATATTGCTCACGAGGTCGTGATGTATATCCTGTAGTAGGATTAGGATTTCTGGGTGGGCCTCCATGCGAGTACTTGATGAATATCACGATGATTGATATGTACCTACTAGTATTACCACAAAGCTCATTTCGTGAATGGAAAAGTTTGCCATAACACTTTTATTGATTTTCTCGTCAGGCCAGATAATTGGCCCGCTCGGCTTATGATATTTCCCTCTTTTTCATTTTGCGCTTTCGCTTCCTAGTATTAATCACACCATATCAATCCACGATCTCTTAGTGTCTTTGTGGAAGTTTCGTTGCGGCTGAGGGCGGAGAATGTACCTTGTATAGGACTCTCCAGCTCTCTGTCTGACGATGAGGGGCTTCGGTGTCTGCAATAACCGACTATACGACTTGCCTTGCCTTGCCTTCCTTTTGAACAGCTGCTACAACCGCAATGCCGACTCGGCATCCGGCCCGAACGGTCCGAATTTAGCTTATGTCCGCCCGACATTGCATTGGAAGTTAATGATGGCCCTGAACCTTGCGATCATGCACAGCGAAATTCCTTATTTCTCGAAGCGGCCTAGCTCATTCCTGGATAAGTAGAAATATCTCATCGAAGACGGTCTGTCCCAAGGTCTAATTGCTGTCTCATCATTGAATAACTCCTTCCAAAACAATAACAATGTCTACACCAAGCGAGACGACACCTACCAAGAAGCCTGGCCGGTTTGACCCGCCGGTCTGGCGCTTCAACGAAGACCCAATGCCCAACGTCTCCCAGACTGGTGGATGCCACTGCGGCGCAGTACGCTTCCGTGTTCAGCACCCAGTCTTGACCAAGCAACCTGGCTTCCACTTTCCCGTAAAGATGTGCAACTGCAGTATTTGCGCCCACAACGGCTATCTGTTAATCTATCCGGAGAGATACGAGCTTGAATGGATCAGCGGGGAGGAAGTCCTCGTCGACTACAGGTTTGCGACAGAGAAAAAAGCTCATCGGTTTTGTGGACGCTGTGGGAGCAGTATCTGTATGGACCCTCAGGGATCTTGGAGTTCATGGGCTGGCGACGTTGTGGGATTAAACGTGAGTTGTGGCCCGGTGTCATGTTCTCTGGCCGACACTAGCATCATCGCTAACAGCGACTGACTCAGGTGCGCATGCTGGATGAATGGGACATTGCAGACCTCAACTTCCATGAAAAGGACGGCAAGAACTTTATACCCAAGTAGTGATACATGATCTATCACACGGAACGTATCTAGATAGACTCATTCCAGATTCTCCAACTGGTACTTGCGCGGCCTGTCGGAATATCCTTAAGCTACCTGGAGAAGGCTCACTGCAGCAGAGAAGGATTTCGGGGATCTCGTAGCTGACTTTGCCAAAAAATCCACATGTCATTCCTAGATAAGGCAAAACATTTTTATTTGAACCGTTCACGTCTTGTAACAATGCAGCCAATTGAATACAGAAACCTATTGAGACCAAACCAGGCAAGTTTCTGTTGAAAATGATCAACACGAGTCTCAATTCGCCTTGACGAAGCTGGAATGCTTTGGGCTTATCGCACAGACAGAAGCGCAGCCGTAGGGAGTACGCTAACTGCATTTAAGATCATTCGAGCTGAACTCACAAGAGATTCACCACGGACCTCAAGATCTCGCCCAATGTGCATACGGAGGTTAGTCTCGCAAAATCTGCAGAATGGCCAAAATTTGCGGCGGTCTGAAGTGATTTGATAGGGCTGAGGATGGTCAATGTTATGAAATTGGTTAGTTAGATGTCCCCTCAATATCTGCACTTCGCTCTGCCCTAGATAATCTGGGGACCACTAGGTTCCCTGTTAGCTGCCCGGTGCACCCCCAAATTGCTGACTCATCAGTCGCCCGCCCGCCGCCGCCCCGACGTTACGCGCCAGGCCCGCTTTATACCTGTATAAGCTTATTTTTTTTTTACGTATACTTTTCTTCGAATCCGCTTGTTTTCGCCAAACGGAACACCGACAATCTGGCCGCTAATAGGGGACTCATACCCATTAGTGCATGTATACGGTTGTTACGCCTCAACAATCTTAATCTTTAATAAAAGCTGCATTTCTATTATAATATATCTTGGTCATTCAGATTATATGCTGTAGCCATACACTCTCACAGCACTCCCAAGCATACGACCAAAGTGAGGAAGACTCCCATGACACATCCGATGAACGGGTCAGTGATTGACGTGCCCACATTCCGGATGTTTTCGCTTGTCATCGCATCGCCATCCCCGTCAGCGTCATTTTCTGGAAGCTCAGTCGCATTGACGCGCATACAATGCAATTCGGGTCCTCCAACAAAACCGTAATCCGTGGGTATGCGGGTGTTAATCATGAGAACGTGGAGCCGGTTGACACTCTGGAGGTACCCGTCGCTGAGAGATCCATTCAGGGGCTCCGACACGTTGACGAAGAAACCTTGACCACTGACCAAAGGCGACGAGGTCGCGTTGTTTTGTCGATTCACCCCGCTGAGAGGGTAGTCCCCATAAAGCGTGCTGAACACTGTTGCTTTACCAATGGAATCGCTGCACTCCAGCAATTCGCTCCAGAAATAGCGTGGTGGTATGCACGAATTCCCATCATCTGAGATGGTGGTAGCACCGTTGCCGGCCAGGAGGAGGGAATCAATACATGACTTGCCAAGAATGGGCTCGCAGTCGGTACTGTCGTCGTCGTCGGTGTACTTATTTATAATCTCTACCGGGAGGTCGATGCTAGTCAGAGTAGCCATGCAGAAGGTTCCATCGGCGCCGTCGAGTGCCTCTGACAGGTTGGTCCCTGTGAACTGGAAATCGTAGATTGCGCTTGCCACGTGCGGTTCATCGACGTCCTCCAGGTCCGCGTCTGGTATCGACACGTCGCTTATGTTGATTCCTACGTGGCACATCAGTCAGTTGCAGCTCCGCTAATAAGCCTCGTCCGAATCTACTTACGCCACATCCACTCCGAGTCTCTCAGCTTCGAGTTCTCTGCCAAAGAGCCCCAGTATTTCTCAAAAGGCTTGAATGCTACCGAACGCGTGGCGGTAGGATTGTGGTTTGCCTGAATAATCGCATCTCTAGCTTTCGGGTTTAGTTGGTCCAGCGCCGATTCTCTCCATCCTGAAATTTGACCATAATCGCCAGCAACAGCACTTGCAGCCAGTGCCAGGAGTGAAAAAAATATCCGACTCATATTGACTTGGTAACTTATAGAAACTAGTGGAGACTGAATGAGAGTGACAACTGTGATGAAAATGGTACGGTAATTGGGACAATTGACTTGAAATTGTGAGAGCAGTTGAGAAACGCAACACATTTATTTAAGCACAAGAGTAAATCAGCGAGCACCAAATGAGACGTACCAGACTCCTGGGCCGATGATGCACGCCAAGTGTAGCCAAGCATTATTTATGCAGTTGGTTGCAAACACAGTGAGAAAGGTGTGGCTCAGTGCGGCGTAGGATGCACATGGATCCACCCCATAGAAATTTCTGTATTGTGACTGTGCATGACAATAACGCCAAGAGAAGACAGTTTGAACTCCATTGCCATGTGTTCTATGTTTACTTACAAACAACTCACATCAGTCACCGCCTCACCCTCGCATCCGTGCCCCACCTCCTGCTCGTCCCCAAGCTGCCCCCGTTATGGCGGCAAGATTATGGCGGAATTGTCTGATATGGGGTTCGGTGTGTCTTAGAGCATCAATCAGTTAATAATTTGCTGTTGTAGTATTGCGGTTTGAAACATTCTCGTTTGCAGGAAAAGGTGGATTTGTACTACATCATGCGCGGTGTTTGTTCCTCCTTCTCCTAACCACCAACATATGTCCAAGCTATACCTGCCTACCTCCAAGCATCGTGAATTCCAACCACCAGAGGCTTATCACGTCCTTTCGTGATTCCGTCCACCGGCTTTCTGACATCATTGTGAGTCTGAAGCAAATGGAAGCAGATGTGGATTTTGGTACTATTAAGCCAGGGAGTATAGTTCAAGAGATACAGAGCAAATAATATAATGCGTGCATCGGACATGACATTATATGACATATCCTCATGGATGTTATGCCACCATATCATATGACGAATCTTGATGAATGTTTTGCATGGGTTATGGCCATTTATCTTCAGCTTAATTCCAGGCTTTTCAGCTTTCTTGTTTTATAACAAGGTGAACTTGACTATTTACGAATCGCAGAATGGCATGAACATACATACTGAAACACAAAGCGTGTCCGGCGGTAAGGAAATAAGTCTAAGCTGGCTTCTCCACCGGTCGTGGTGTAGCGTCCATTTCGACGGGAGAGCGACGCCCATCCATCTCGGCAGGTCGAAAGCTGGTATCGCCTTCAAACTCCAGAATTCTTGGCGGCAAGTCATGCCCGTTGTGCGCCATCACGACATCGGGCGATGGGGCAGCCTCTGCATTCATATTTATCTTGCGTTCCATATTCCTGCGGCGACGGTGTGACAGCGTCCAGCTAAACGAGAAGATCAGAGCGAGTGCGAGAACGCCAATACCAACGCCAATTCCTACCCATGCACCTAGTGAGAGGGAGCTCCCTTGGTCGCTCGGTACAGGCTGGACGCTGGTTGTTGTGGTGGAATTTCCGCTGTCTGTCCCGTTGCAAGTAAGATGGCCGATCAGTCCATCCCTCTGTTGTTGTACCAATTTTGAGCAGTTGAAATCCGCGTTCCAAGCTTCGATTGTAACCTGTCCTTGAACAAGTCTCAGTGATGGAAAAATGTTACCATTTGATGACCTTTGAAGTGTCAGCTGATGATCAGACTCGAACAATAATGTTCATCAACATACATGTCGATGTTGCCATTTAGTACCACTGTATCTGCGAATTGCAACGTCCGAAAATTACCTGGCAAGAGACTGCCAGGATTGTTTTGCATCAATAGTACTGGGATGCTGGTGGTACTAGCAAAAGAAAATGTGCTGTTGACACAATTCTCGATTGTGAGCTGTGCATTGACGTTTGTAAGATTCGGCATTGAAATGGCGACATTTGAGACATTCGAAACGATAAAGTGGCCTTCGACATGATGGATGTTCCACTCATATGTAGAATAGTCCTCAGACAGTGATCCGTCGCTGCTGCCACCCACCGAGGCAGTGTCCCAATTGCCAGCACCATTATCTTGGATTGTCAGATTCCCACCTACTTCAAGATCACCGACCTTGATAGGACTGAATTTTCTTTTGAAAATGGCGTCTCCGTTCACTTGCACAAGGTTGGGGAGGACTGGGGAAAAGTCGTCACCGCCGAAATTAGCGAAGGATCCCTCCAGAATCAATTCATCCACCTCTGTTAGGTGAGGGAATTGCGCCACAAGAGATGATTGTATTCCGAGTTCGGTCAGCTGAGTGACATTGTGGAGAATCGCACTAGTCCCTTCATTCTGTACCCAGGAACCGATGCTATCACCAAATACATGCATAGGATTATCTGCCATGGAGGAACTATAGGAGCTAGGCTCGGTAGTTGCAAGAATAACTTTTCTGATCCCATAGGCCGGTGAAGATGGTATGATTAGTTGGCCGCTCTTTACACTTCCACTGATTGACAAAAGAGTCGTGAGCTGGATGAGGCTGACGTCGATGCTGAGATCTTGATCAAGCCCTTTCACGGATATATTAGTTATATATAGCCCGTCTGGAAACGTGAGATTGCTTGTGGGCGACTGAATCTCCACTTTTTGAGCCGGCGAGCATGATTGCATGAATAAGGTTTGCGAATCGATATCTGCCTGGCTCGTCAGCGTGATCGTCTCTGTGCAGACATTAGATGCTAATGGACACTAGTTAGTATACACATTGATTTTCAAGTTCCTATACTATAGGGTAGAGATTGCAGTACTCATGGTCTCAGGCAAGGTGCTAGATAAGATCGCAAGAGCCTGCAAGTTGCGGTTGGCAAAACAAACACAAGTTTACTTGTACCAATGTCTGGTGTGGATAGCGGGATCTTTGACGTTCAAATACAACTCACATTTGCGTCATTTTTACAAAGAAAGACAAAGGCACAATACGTATCTTCGAGCGCTCTTGCATGAATTGGGCTGGCCAAACATGATGATTGGTCTCCGTGCCGCCGTGACCTCCAACGCACAGATCGTCAGCGTGATACCAATGAAGTCTATGAGCCATACCAAGACCATGCATTTACAGTTAATCATACCCTACCAGCTCCATAACTGACTCTTTATTGGCTGGGCAGAAAGTATCATCGTATCAGTGAGCCAATCAAACGCGTAACATTTATGACACCCTTGCATATTTCGGTGAGGCTGCATAATTATTAATTATCTCTTTAACCGCCAAGCTTTGAGAAGGGGTAGTTGGACTTTTCCCAATGGAACAATTTTGGAAATGGATGCGCATGGAGAGCGACCAAGCTATACCTGAAAGAGCTCGCACCCTATTGCCCCGCGCTGTTTGCGTAGGTAAACTTTAACTGCTGGATTAGTAGCTAGGTACTCAGGTCGGTAACTTTGGTCTTTCATTTTTCCCATTTCAATGGCGGTTCACTCAATAAAGTTGCATGCAAGGTTACGGCGTGACTTTGTTTTCCCTTCAGGTAGGTAGGCTGCTTTCGATGCGGCTATTTTTATTACCTACATTAAAGTTTACCCCTCGATGCGATAAGGTGGAGTTTCTGCACCAGTTTGTGGTGACATGAAGCTCTCTGCCCTTTCATGGCAAGCCTTAATGATATAGAGGATGTTAATCGAGGCTTCACACAAGCAAGATGTCTTGCTCTTCGATGCCCAAATTCTCCACCTCGCCATGCATCATGTCATGAACATACGCCTGGCCGATTATCTGATAATTCGCACCCTCAGGATTACTACAACGCAGTACATGCGGCGTCTTTGCATAATTGAGCACACACACTTTATCTCCCTCTTGCAGACTCAACGGGCCAAAGCCAAAGCGACCCATCGAGGTCATGAAGGGCCTTTTCCCCATAAGGAAAAAAGCACTATCACTCATGTACTTGATGCAGGGTGTGTTTGGGCCGATAAGTCCCATGGCTTCCTTGTCAGCCTCGATTATTGCAGGGTCCAGAGGACCGGCAAAGGCACACTCGTGAAGTAGACTAAAAGGAACCATAAGCAGCAATCGAGATGGGGGTTTGATCATGCATGTCGACTTACATAAGACTGTCAAAGTCAACATCTAATTTTTCCATTAGCTCAGCCCAACGAGCGAGGCTCACTTTGAATGTCCGGTATGTCTCGTACGTCAAAGTGTAGCGTACCCTTTCCGTCATGTCGCCCACAAGCGATCGCCAATACCCGTCAAGCGTGAACCTTACCCGACCTTCATCCTCCTTGGTGCACATCGTCGTTGGGTCGTCCGGCAGGTTGTCAACCTGGTCGCCCAGAACAGCCTTGGCTAGCGATTTCTCCCAAGCATGGAATCTCAAAAATCTCTGCTTACCTTCCTCAACAGAAGTGAGCTGGTCTTTCCATTTGATGACATCAACCAACTCGGGAAGCAATGTCTCGACGGTATCGAAGATCTTTCCACACACAGAGATCGCGCGGGGGTTTTCTGGCAGTGGCGGAACTCTCTTTCCGCGGCTGGCATCATAATGATGTTTGGCAGTAGTCGATGCTATGTGTCGCTCAAGAGGGAGTAGCAGCTCTTGGGGATGCGTCGGGCTGTCGCCCAGATTGTGGTAATCGGGACACCAGCTGGGTAAGCCCGCCCTTTTCTTCTCCGAGGACCATGCAAGAGTGAGGAGGTACCACCAATTCATCGCTGATGGGTTCACGTTGGCCAAAAGAAAGCGCGTCAACTTGGTGTAGAGCTCCCACGCGTCCATGTCTCTACCTATCCCGACTCTCTGGAGATCCTGTCCGGAGAAAAAGCCGAGGATTCCGAACACTCTATCCCGAGCATCATAACAATGATGATTTCTGGTTGTAGAAACGAGCAACCTCATCAGTGCGAATGGTACTTCTTGTGGATTAGCAAGGCTTTGGGTATATTTGCGAATGTCGAACACAACTTCGGTCCCGCCAGGCAGAGGGAGAGGCTTGAAGCCATTGGCATCCCGAAGGCGATGGCGCAAATCTGGGCCATTCCGCACGGCATCGTCAAGCACGTCCCATGGTATCTCCCCATCTCCGTACAGTACTCTGATGTGCCTCGCCAATGCAGCCTCTTGAACGATCCACAGCCGGGAGAAATAGTTGTTGTTGATGATCTTGGTCACAGCACCCCATTGTGGCGAGGAAAATGCCGGCAAGCCTTTGTCCACAGGCGAGGCCTGATCGAATTCCCAGGCTTGACTCATGACCTCTCTGGCTACCGCGCTGACCTTTGGTAGCAACGAAATGGCTTCGTCTCCATGTTCCGGGTCACAGCCCAGCCACACCCAAACTTGAGTTGCCTGACGGTAGATGCTGTGCATCATGTTGATCTGAACAAATTTCTCTTCCCCATCAGACTGGTTGATACAAACGGCATCAATCCATAGCGGCAGAGACGAGCGCCGCCTAGCGAGATAGGGCAGAGCATTCTTCAGATTTCCGTGGATCCGGAGTTCGGAGTCGTTGCATCGAAAAGGAAAGGTGTGGCCAAGGTCGCCCCATGTGTAGGAAAGCGCGTCGAACTCTACTGATGCATTAGGGCCTTGCTCCTGTATCTGGACAGTCTTGAGAGCCCATACAACGATTCCATCACGAATAGAGTGATGAAGCAGTCGGATCTCACCGGGCTTGAGAGGAGTATACCGAAAAGGGACTGTCATCATGGAACGTGAAAGGTGAAGAAAAGGAATAGAGACGGTTGTTCCGTTTCGTGGGAGCCTGGTAATGTCATCGGGCCCAGTGAATTTGGGGGCCAAGCACCCATGTCTATTGCCCCTCTCTCCTGGGCAATGATTGGCTGTGCACATGATCCGTGGTCAGGGTCAAGATGACAGGGTAATGTGCTGGGTGAAAAGTCTCAACGGGTAACGCTCCTATTCTTGACAAGATGGAACCGAATCTTTCTATTCGGATCCCGATCATCCTCGATAGACATTCGATACGAGACTCACCTATGATGACTGAATGTCAGAATAAGCGAAGAAATTGAGACGATGTGAAAGTATCTCATTGGGCTACAAAATGCAGGCACAGAAAAAATATGTTCCTAGGTAGTGTATTCAGCTTGACCTTGCGTACACTGGCTGTGTACAATCAGAGAAAGATGCTGTTGCACCCATGGGTTAGCAACAACCATTTTCCAATGTCTTGAGTTGGGTACTGCCCCGATGGTTTGCTAGACTTCTCGAGTTCGTATACTAACTAAGTCCTGAACATCACTAGTCTTACACCTTAAAGTGACGAGACAATTGGGTAGCTAATACTGCTGTGGGACATTGACGACGGCTCTATTCAATGCTTATCGTGTCTCTGACTTACTTGCTCGGTTTCCTTGGTTTTGTTTGAGGCGAGGTATCTTGTCTTCAGCGTCGTCCATTGTCAGTTTCTGGATAAGTAGCAATTCGCATTATCGAAAATGGTGAACTTTAAATTAGGATTGAGCGCAACGAGTCTGCAATTCGTTCGAGTCGTGGTAACGTCAATTCATAGCAACAAACCGTTTTTGATAGAAAAGCTTTAAATCAGCTGTTTATATCTAAATGCAATTATATTGCCTACATCTTCCAATCATATCTTCCTGAGTCTAAGTGACATTGCCGAACTTGGATTAGACTTGCGGCTCCGATTCTACTAATGCTGCAGCGATTTGGACGTCGTCTTTCGGCTTTGCTTTTTGCTTTCGAGCGCCACATATCGTAACTAAGTCCTGTCATTCTTGGGTACCCCTCGTCGCTTCAAGTGTTGTTCCGTCGGCCGTTGTCTCATGTAGCCTGCAATCCTGGAGTAATTATTTGAGCGCAAATGGCTTTCAATATTTCAAAATTGCAACATGATATGCTAGGACAAAGTGGATTGTCAAAGCATCAAGGTAAGGCTGTGCTTGCCCCAAGGGTTCTACAAAGTACAAAATTTTCTCTTCGACCTGGTGGCTAAAAGCTCCGACATTTGTAGTGGCTGGAACATTCAGAGGCAGAGGCCCAGCGTCTCAGGCGGCGTTCGCTAGTTTTGGTATTTTTGACAGGATGACGGCGGTTTGAACGCAGTATGCCGCTGACATGAAAAATGATCAAAAAAATAGCTGCGTTGTACCGCCTCAGGAGTAGAAGAATGCTGGAATTGAGACGAGAGGTTTTCGACTTATAGGACTACTTTGGTCGACCTCTGCAACACCTCAATCTTCCTGTTTCGGAATGCTGCACAGATGCTAGGTATTAGCTAACCTAGGTTAGTACCTAACTAACCTAACCTACCTACTATAAGTGATATGGTACCTTACAGGTAGGCTGCCCGCCTTGTTCAGCGTTTTCCCAAACAGACCCAACGTATATTCCATCGCTTTCCTCACAATCCAATGCAGCACTGGATGGATATATTTAAAGAAAATTCAATTGCCATATACTTAGCACAAGACGGAAATTCTCCTACCTCGTGGGCTCTTGAGACACTGACTTGTCGAAATATATGACCTCGGTAACAGGTTACAGCGACATGCACGTTAGCTGGATTGCAGTTAGCGCACACCATGGGTGGAAACCCGCCTTAGCCAATATACATGTGGCCTATTAGGCGGGTACCTACATACCTAACCTAGAAACTTATTGTAAGAATATTTCCATAACTGGTTGACTTTGAATAATAAAATGATATAGGTCTATAAATTAGATCACATTTCCATGCCCTAAACAAAAATGATTAGCAAAGATGATTATATGCCTCCCAGTCTTAGCTCAAGAGCTACCTTTCATTGGGACCGTGGACTCTCTCCTTAACACGACGAAATACCTACCATCCATTCTCCCTTAGAAACTGCATTGATTGTGCTGATTTGGCCAAAGGTGAACTTTTTGATTGGAAATATCCTTCCAAATTTGCGTGACACATTGAATTGCTTTCGCAGTTGCGTCCAATCGGCTGGACAGAGCCCCTCTCCCGTGTTGGTGGGGGATGTTGCCTGCTGCTGCCTGAGCCAAAACGTCTCCGCCTACTTGCCGTTGCCTGAAGAATCACGACCACCACAGAACGAAAACGTGCCCTGTAAAGAATATAAAACGATCAGACATTGCTATAGTCTCTCGTAGTATATCAGGGACTGGAAGAAAGAAGATTGAACAAGGTCAGCTCATACCACAACCGAAGCAATGGCGCGGCCACCCGTGATCGGCCACTGGGCCGACCCCGACTTTGATCCTCAGATGCAGTCACCGCTGTTCAATATTTTGCCCTCAGAGATACGCGACTTCATTTTCCGATACGCGCTGCAGGAGTACTGTTCCGCCGAAGTCCAGGCCAAGCTGCCGAACCTCGCCGTCCGCCACGACCACGAGCCGGTGGAAGAGGAGGAGGAGACGCCATCCGTCGACATTGCAGTGGGTCCGAGTATCAACGCCGCTCGGCGCGTCGCCCGGCGCGCCCCCTATGGTTACGACTGGCTCCGCCCAGACAATGTTGAACCCATGACGGTAACCACAGCGCTGCTACGAACATGCCGACGGGTCTACATCGAAGCGTATGAACTGCCTGCGTGGCAGAGAGAGCACAGATTTTATATGATGCGGGGAGACTATGGGGCCAAGGCCGTTTGTTCCATCGACACGCTACGCACCCACTTTGAGCAGCACTTAGCAGCCGGGATCTATTGGCGATTATCGCCCACAGCAGTAGAAGACAATGACGAACAGGTGAGGTTGGGAGAGGAGGCGCCGCAGCAGCAGCATCCAAGACAAAAATTTATCCGGCGCGGCCTGATCCGCCGTGTACGATTGTTTACACAATTATTTTGGCTTGAGGACTCGAACAGCCCCCTCCACTTCTGGCGTCTCGTCACAGAAACTCCCTGGCTTGGACGCGTGGAGCACCTTCGCATCACGATCCGTCGCGGCGATTGGTGGAACTGGGAGTCGAAGCAGTCTCTCAGCATCAACCCTTTCCGGGGCACCGTGAGCACGAGGGTCATGAGCGAGGACATTGAGCGTGCAGCGGCGCGGGCCGCCGCCGGCGACAACGACATCAACCCCGACTTTTCCCCGCGCGCCTGGGGCCTCGCCTTTCAGCACCTGCGGTGCCTGGAGACGCTCACCATTGACTTTGAGACGGCCGAGGACCAGCGGCAGGAGCTGGACCGCATCGTTGAGTGGGCGGTCGGATGGAAGCTGCCGCTAGCGCCGGGCCTCTTTGGCCGGCCGCGGTTCCTCAGCGCCCAGGGCCGCCCCGTCGAAAAGATGAGCTGGCGCGGCCAGGCCTGGCACTCGCAGCCGGGTCTCTTTGGCCGGCCCAGTACCGCAGTTGGACGACCCCCAAGGCTGTATGTCAGTACTGTGACTTGGGTGCATTGTGAGGACAGAGACTGGAGGAGGGATGATAACGTGCAGGGTACCGCCGTATGACTTTAGGCTCAGGTATCCTCTTACGATAGCTCGAATTAATTTTGACTTGATACTCACAAGGCTCATGCATTACGCCTTCATTTAAGTATGCACCGGGAAGCCCACCTTGCAGCTGAGATAAGATTCTTTAGGGTCGCCATTTAAAATATGAACAATTCTTTTGTTGTCCCTGCTGATATAATAAGATGAACAACTCAGAGCCAGAAACCAACAAATAGAACTAAATTATCGGTAACTCCCAACTTTAAACTGATCCAACCCCATTTCCCATCCCAAATCAATTTACAAGGCACATAACTGCTACTCTGAAGAAGATTTAAGAATTTCGGTTCACGAATTTTACCCTGCCGCCATCCATTTCACTTGCTTCGACCCCCACAAGGTTTTCTTTCATCTTGTAGCAATTATCCTTGGCAATTGCCCGATCCATCGCGTTATTACCGTTTGCGATCAATGTATATAAATCATCCGATAAGAGTTGAGAGATCGTATGCCAAATGTTTCCGCATCTCGAATACCTCACCTGCCCCACGTAAAGTGTTGTTATTGCGGCAACGCATATCAAGTAAACAACTATGAGTGTAGCGACGGATATGAAACCACCGCACGTATACTGGGAACAAGGGCCTGGGGTCCTGACAACAGTGGTCGTTGCAAGCTGGACTGGCTCTGCGGGGTAGTTGAGCTTGAGCGACTCGATATAAGCACCAGTTGTCAACATGTAGATGAGGGACTGCACAGCATAGGCTGCACGGCCAGAACTGGTGATGATGTTCCCCATCAATGCGACAAATTCATAGTGTATAGGCACTGGCGCCAAATAACAGCCCAGACAAAGGGGGATGGTCTGGTTTGATCCGATAGCATAGCCCATGTTCCAGTAGACGAGCGTCTCTGGGATCCGAGATGCGAGCATACCAATAGTCATGGTGCTGTTGGGATCTGCAGGCGGAAATACATCAAGAGCAGGCCCGCTGTCTGGTTCTTGGTGCAGATCCATGTCGAATATACCTCTTTTCATGTGACTCAGGTTGCCTGACTTGACATCAAGGAAGTTTTCAACTTCGCTTGTATCGGACTGTAATGTCGTCAAATTCCACGGGATCACCGGCTCCTTGAGGGCGGTTTCTGCTTCCAGGTGCACCACATAACGCTCGGTGCTGAGAGCAGGAAAACACAACGTAGCATTAACGTAGCGATCAGGAGCAATGGTGAAGCTCAGCCATTCTCCGTCGCGATGTCCGTCTGTGATGGGGTGGCTTTCATTATCCGCAGGCCAGTCCTCAACGTTTGCATTCGATACAATGGCCATGTATAGAGGAACACCCCATGACCAAGGCATACTCGAAGAGTCCCACCTCATAGAGGAATCAAGATTGGGTGCACTGTTCCCAGATGAGACGATACATATTGACGATTGAGGGTAGTTGGCAATTGGAAAGTCCGGGCGAACAATTGGTACATTGCACCGAAAGCCAATCGTTTCGCATGTCCCCGCGCTACAATTTGATATGTCTTGTCCGCTGTTTCGCAAACTGGCCGCTGCGTCTAGCGTCCCGGTTAACCATGCGAGCGCTGGCGCGACAGGGTTATCCAATTGCTCGTCCAACAAATACTTGACCTCCATGACAGGTGGCATGCAAGAGACTCTGGAATTCAACACCATTCCTGTACCGCGATAGTCTCTTACTGAGGTCCTCGTATTACTGTCCGCGAAGGGGAGAAGACCTTGCTGGACAAGACCAGTGTCGCTGAAACCATTATTATCTGGCGGGACGCTGCTATTAATGCGCCTTTCACCGAATAAAGAAAGAACTGGCGTCGATTCCAAAAGGTCGACAAAGTTCATGGCCCATTGAGGCCCGTGGCCCTCTGGAACATAGAACAGGCTCTGAACATTTGTCGAGTTGATACCTCCTACAATTGTGAAATCGTGCAAATCGGACAGGAGAATTGTCGATGAGAACTGAAGACTGAGTGCGATAAGTGAAAGGAGGGATAAAAGCCAGAACTCTGGGTACAGGAGCACAGCTGTTGGCCTGTGCGAAAGCATGAGCTGTACCAGCTTTCTCGGTCCATCATTGACGCCTCTAAAGACTGAGAAAAACGCTGCGTCGGGCTTGCGCACAGAGCGCTTCTCTAGAATCAGAGCCGCCACCAACGACGTGCACACGATTGACTGAGTCGAGACCAGAACGCGCAGTGCGAGAGAGCACAAGGTAATGGTTTGGGTCATCCAATTGTGCAAAGCCAGGATACGCCACAAGTCGGTTGCCGTCTTTCCTTCAGGCTCGGTACCGTATCCGAACCACAGAAAGATCAGGAAACCAAGGACACCTAAGGCCCCTAGGGATCCACCAAAGATGCTCAATAATCCTACAACGCCCAGGGACTCTTTCAATGGAAGAGCCGGTCGATGAGAAACCTTGACTGTGGAGGTGGAACCAGTACGCCAAGTACTGCTTCCACTCTCAGCACTTTGGTACATTTTAGGGTACTTGTGTATGTCTCCCATATTGCCTGATGCAGCGCTCGACCCCTTGGCGCTGTCGCTATCACGACTTTGGTCATGGCTCTCAACAGGTGGCAGGTGGAAAGGTGCAACTGGCGCATTTGTTGGCGGCGCAAGCCCACGAGCGTCGCATCTGTCCGGTGTCGTACTGCGATACCCGTGATTCGTCTCCCAGCTGCCAGCTGACTGAGTTGAACCTTGGCCGGTCATTTGGATGGCGTCGATGGCAGACTCCTGGTGCTGGTGGTGTGGTACTTCATTGCTGTAAGAATGGAGCAAGGCACCATCTCTGACTTCGTCGTTCATAATGGATTAGACGGTGATACAGTCTGTGCGTATAATTGATAGAGAGGAAGTTGGGAGGATGTTCTCATTGTAATCTCAAAGCTCAAGCAGGAAGGCATTGACAGGTATACTCTCAATCATGCGATAAGAACGATACAAATAATACACGAGCATTCCTGAAGCGGCAATCCATGATTAACCAATGGTCGGCCAAGCACAAATCAAATACGAACAAACCGTTCCGATGTTAATATCGAACATCATTGGTGGGTGCATCAGCCGGTCCGCAGGATTGTGGCGGGAGCTGCAAAGAATCATGAACCTCCAATGAAAATACGGTTTATAAAAATAGGAGAATGTGGTGGCATGTTGCCTAGAACTTGGAGGGACATGAATTTTCAGCTGCACTTGGCCAAACACCGTCAACACCTCATTAAGACCAATCACTATTGAGGCCCTGAAAATAGGCTCTTTTCGCGTTATACTGCATAATGCGGAATGATGTTACATGAAGCTGAAGTACGAATACCACCGTGTCGCCCACTCACCAGACGATTGCGCAACGGCACCTTGACCCTCCATGTGAGAAATATGACCACAATTACCGCACTGCACTTAGAATCCTCTTAGGCGTCGCTGTGCATTTATTGGTGGTTGAAAAACGTGCTCCATAGGCGATCAGGCTTCTGGGTTAGCATGTGGCTTGAATGTGCATGCATCTGAAACAGCTGTACCTGGTGGGGGCCTTTCCCGTCTATGTCTTTTTTTGTGTTCGCTGAGGGTGGGGGCCACAGGTGGCGGTTTCGGTCAGCTTGCCTGCATATCGAGGTCTGCTTAGCAAAATCTCTAATAGGCCTGTTTGTTCGCTTAGATACGCACCGATAATGAGCTCTCACTATGGCGCAGTCAAGAATTTGGATAGAGGAAGAGAGCAATGTACTAGGAAGAAATATCATTGATTAAAGAAAGGATACCATCATGTATGACCCTAGCTCTACGCCAGATTAGCTGGCAATCGCCCGCTTGATATCTGGTATCTCTAGGTCGCAGCACCGAAGCCAAGAATGGATTCCCGCTCCATCTTTCCCGGCCGCGGACTCCACCAATCCGTCCGATCGTTCTCCTACCAAAACCGAGACTCACACCGTCGTTAGTGTATCAATATGCTTACACTGAATCTCGTTGTCCTTGCCGGCGGGTTGTGCAGCGCGGCCATTCACCTCGTCTTCCTAGAGACGAGGCTGCCGTTTATGATCCCAAGTTCACTTGAACCACACCTAGCAATCCTTCTTCTTCCTCAATCAAGACCATCCACCTGACTAGGAGTTCCTGTACCAAAGTGGAGATCTCGTCATTGTTCCAGGAGCGGCCAGATCTGGTCCACTTTACAGTATGGTCGTAAATGGTTTCTTCGTATGTAGTTTCCTCCCATGGACCTATCACGTCGCATGTTAACCCTGCCTCTGCGTCATGAAAAGTGCGCAGACTTCATCACTCACCAGAATTATCTGTTCTTCTTGACCGTTGCGCAAGCCTTTCTTGGATGTATGCCGCAATTGTGTGGGGCATGACCTCCTTTGCACGAAGGATAAACCTGTCAAAGCACCAGCAGAGTTCCATGACGTATATCGAGTCAGACATCGCGTCCCTCGGCTTTTCACTGTCGTCTGCAGGGATGTTGTTAGCACATCGTATCACGGGGGTTTAGCTGGTGAAGCAAGCGTATCGTGGCTTGAGGGGCAGGACAGAGTGGAGTAGCTTTCTGGCCTACCTTCAACAAGTTCCCAGGTCAGACCCATGGACATCTGCACTGTGATGAAGAACTCGATCAGTGCCTCTCTGGGCAGCTCGGCTGTACGACGAGTTACGATCCTGGCAGGTGTTAATTAGAATGCCTCCGACGCGGGTCGAGTACCTACCACAACGGAATGCCGATCTGTTCCGAGCTCAAATAAGCACCAAGGTTGCGCATGTACTCGTATGAGCGTGCCGTGTTTCGCCGGAAGCCAGCCGTTATAGTCCTCAATTCTGACTCTTCAAACCTGAATCTCTTCAGCTGCAAACCCAGACCATCGAGGGGCGTAGAGCCGTTCTTGTTGATGAGATTAGGGTTGAGCTCCTTGCCGATGCTCTGGAAGTGGTCTCTGATGATTTCAATGGCAACAGCATTGGAGCAAAATGCCGCGTAGTGAAGTGTACTGCTACCCGTGTTATCCGCTATCTCCAGATACTCTTTTCCAGGGAACGTCCGCAAAAGCAGCCTCAATGTGGCATAACCGGTTGGGTTGCTCCCCATGCTGTCTGTATTTGGGTGAGCAGTGGTGGGCATCCACAATTTGTGTCAAGAATAGACTCACCATGTTGCGTCCCCATTACAGCATAATGCAGTAGAGTCCTGCCAAGTGAGTCAGCAATGAAACGTGGTCGAGGGTTCATCTCGATCAAATATTCCATTTGTTCGAGAGTGAAGAGGTTGCTCATGATGGCATTCTCAACCATGTATGCAGTAAAGGTCATCGTGGTTTCCATTCGATTAACCATCTTGCCTTCATGTGAGATCAAGTCCATGTCGTAATCGAGATTGTAGCGAGTTCGGATATGCTCAGCAAATTTCAGATGCTCTTTCGCCCCTTCGATCAAGGCTGTCATGAACACGGTGTGATCGTCATGGCTCTTGGTGTTGAGTATGGTATATATGTCCATTCCTTCCGGACAGGGTAGGCTGCCATCTTCAATTGCGTTGATGAGTTTGAGTAGGAGATCAGGAAAAAATCTAGCGGCTCGATGGAAAACAGTGAGACCTTCCACCCTGTCCTGTATCATAGGGTCTGCCCCACGGCGCAGGAGAAGGAAAGCGACTTCGACTCTTCCGCGCTCTGCGGCCCAGTGAAGGGCGCTCATGCCGTTCTGGTCGTCAACCTCATTTAGGTCTGGGGAGTTGGTAGCGTCCAGAACGGCGGATACCATGTCTACATGTCCCTGGTAGCATGTGGAGATCAGTGGGTTTGTTCCCTGGCTGAACTCCGATAGAGAGAAGTGCTCCAACATCTCAGGATCCATGAGGAGATTCACCAGTTCTGTCAACTTGCTCATGGCTGTAGCTCCCCCGATACGTCGTCGAAGGAAATCGTTCATGCCGCAAATCTGTTGGAAAGCTTCAACCTTGGCTTCACCGAGAGACTGGTCAGGCCTCGTCAGACTAGCTGCTCCGCTCAAAAGGCTTGAATCATGGTTTTGGTAGATCTCTCGTATAAGATCCACATTAAATGCAGCGGCGGCAGCTGTCATTGGCGTCCATAAATCCTTTGATTTTACGACAGCGGTTGCTTTTAGGCCCACCAGATATCGTGCGGCATCGCCGTTGCTGAAATCCCACCCGCAGAATGTCGACAACAAAGGTGTGTTCCCGCTCGCATCGCGTATCTCAAGATCAACAAGACCGCCCTTAGATGAGATTTCGAAGAGTCGCACAAGATCAGCAGTGTCTCTGCATTGGTTGAGGAAATGCAAGATAGTACGGCCAGTTTTGGTATCTCGGTGGGTTGCATCTGCTCCATGTTCGAAAAGAAACGAAGCCACGTCAATATTGCCAGATGCGCAACTAATCCAAAGTGGTGTGTATGATGGCGTAGTACCAACATAATCGACTTCAGCGCCCAAATCTAGTACCAGAGTCTTGGCCAGCTCTAGATCTCCCATAGCAGCGGCCCGCTGAAGTAATGTGACGGAAAACAAATCTGCCTTCTGGACGCATTTTAGTTTCCGGACGGATTCGATGAAGGACGCTTTTTGACTCAGTTGGAACTTCTCGTGAGGATTGTATCCCTCGAGAGAGTCCGAGTCAAATCTATCCTCTTCACTTTTTGTTTGACCTTCCAACGAAGACTGGATCGCCAGAATGTAGATGCCAAGGCATGTTATCTTCAGAGATCCATAGATAGAAGAACACAGGTACTCATTGTACTCCCGTGGGTTTGACCGAATCCACTGCCGCAACGCAGTAAATGTTTGCGGCTGCGATATCTTATTGCCATGTACATCACTCAAAGATACCAGCAGTTCATTACTCGCAAGATCTGGCAGCTTTGAGCGGGTAATCGCGTCGATATCGTGGGGTACACGAAAGCCCAACGATGAGAACACTGGTTCCAGGCTCGAGATGCCCTTGGCGGACTGTTTGAAGTGTGCAGTCTTGAGCCACTGGAGGCCCTGCTCTACATTTCTCGAAGTACCAATGCCCTCAAAATGAGCAATCGCGAGCTGGAATGATGCCTCTGCTGAGACGCTGGTTGAAGACTCTTGAACTTTGCAATTCAAATCCTCAACCAATTCTTTGGCAACCCCTCTGGGAAGCGTGAAATGGGCGTACTTTGTTGTGTATTCGAACTAAAAGAAAATTAGTCCTATATTATTTGATATGATGCAGCCTTGTGTGTGCATACATCCGGCAATGCAGATAAGAAATCACGGTTATCGCTCTCTGAAGCGACGTTCCTCTGAGTGTCCAATAGCCCTGCAACTCTCGATATGGGCTGAACCTCCATATATTTTGGTTTCCACAGGTCTTCGAAAGGATCTTTCAACAAACCCTACAATGAATCAGCGCGTCATTTGCTCTACCAAGACCAGAAGATCTTACCATTCGTTTGAGGACTAATCGCAGTACAGATAGGAGTCCAGACTTGACAGCACCACGAAGTACATTGAGCGGTTTCATGATGATTGAAAAACCTTGGCTCGCAATATTGACCATATTCCACCACAATCCACCAGGCGGATTTAGTTGAGGCGATGCGGCTAGCGGCTTCTCTGAGTGAGTCTCTTCAGGTTCGCTGTTATCAGCTTCAGCAGTAGGATGGCTGTTGATGATCTTTAGCAGCCTTTCTCCTTGGCGATAATGAACCTAATTCTTTTTGGATCATTGATAACTCACTCTGTAAATAATACCCCGAGAAGGATCAGCTGGGGTCCAATTAGCCGAATCGGGAATCTGTGCTCGGGCTTATATCTCAGCGTAACCAATAGTGTTTTATTGATAAGTAGTTGTTGACTCTCCGTATATGCGACTCGTTCAAAGATTTTTGTTTTCAGGAAATCAACAAGTCTCATCATTGCGTCCTCATCTCGCTTCATCTCGCGGGTCTTATCAAGGATGAGACTTTCGAAAGGGTCGCCACCATGCATGTAGATTCTGCTGAATAGCAACCCAAAGCTGAAGATATCTGCCTGGGGAAGATCGTCTACCTTGACCTTGGTTCCAAATGTCAGTTCGGGGGCGGTCCAGGGTTCGGTTCCAAGTCGCGCGGAAAACATGGCATCGTTGTCATAGTCGTTCATGATGACAGAGAATCCAAAGTCACAGAGCTTGGCAACATACTTGCTCTTGTCGACTTTTGTGGTATCTTGTTCTTGGAATATCAGAACGTTCTCTACCTTCAAGTCGCAGTGCGCTATCCTGTGGTTGTGTAACACTGCGAGTCCTGAGAGAATATCGAGATTTAGATCGAGTTTCACCTTCCAATCGGCTATGTCTGCGGATTGCGCCATGAAGGCAGCGAGGTTTCCATGGTCTGCTGCTTCGAGTAAGAGACGAGGCCAGTAACGGCCCCCTCTCGGGAGCTCATCCCAGGCGACACAGAGCAATTGTACCAAGCATTTGGTCTGCTTCACTGTCCTGTTTCCAAGGATGCGCACTTCATTGGTGATTGCGGCTAGCTGTTGAGCGTCACTGACAGACTTGGAAAGAATAGGCACGATCTTTTTGGTGACAAACTTGCGGCTCAAGAGGTCTTTCTCTAGCTCTTTCCCTTTGCTGTTATTAATCGAAGCGTGGTCGTGACGGATGAGAGGTCGAGTGACACCATACGAAGCTCCTGTCCCAACGAATACATGGTCTTGTCCCCCGGAAGAGTTCGAAGAATTATTGAGCACAGGTATGTTCAATCTGTTGACCAAACTGAAGAACGCAGCCTGGCCGTACAATGTCCTGGTGGTCTCGGTTCGGCGCAGAACTTCTGCATCTGGAGATACAGTGTCAAAATCATACTCAAACAAGCTCAAACTAGTAACACTCGTGGGAGCATTTGGATCGTCCATATCTGGCGGTATCACACTGGATTCTGCGGACAGGTGTTCTTCACAAAATCGGAGAAACGACCATGGCTGCAGTTTGGGCAGCTACGCGCAGAGCTGGTCGGATGACTTGGCATCCCGAGGGCTGAGACCACATTGCAGTTTGCGGCTGAGAACCTGGCTTGGCGTGCCGATGTGTACAAACAGGGTACAAACAGTCTGAGCAGCTCAGCTCAGCCAGCCATGTTCTCCATGGGCGTTAAATAAGCTCTGCCAACACCTGTTCTGCCTTAACCCCGCTTTTCCGTCTCGCTACAATATGCTTTGCTCCTTCCTGCAATCAGCCCAGCACGCCCAAACCACTGCTTTTTGTTAATTACTTGTTATTCGCGGGTCGTCACGAGCCAAAGCCCATTGCTGGACATTATCTGGGCAGAGACATTTCTCGCGCGACGTAAAGTGATTCTTCTTCTTCTTTATATTTTCCTGGCAACGACCCATTTGACATGTCGGGGCTCGAAATACCCGCCTTTATCGTTGGTCTAAGTGGCCTGATTTCTGTTGTGGAGAAACCCTTGACGATATGGAAGAGTCTCGCCGAAGCAAAAGCGTTTGGTGCTGATATGACAGGCATCGTGGCACAATTATCAATGGAGTATTACCGATTCTTTGCCTGGTGCCGAGTCTCAGGAGCTCTTCAGGAGAACACGGGCGATGCTAACCCAAATCTACCAAGCGATGCCGAACTGTCATTTAATAACAATGCATCATTGAGTTTGGAGGCACCAATAGAGAGTGCCATCGCCAGAATTATTGATATTTTAACCGAAGTCACTGAGATCTCAAACAAGTACAGAGATTCGGATACTTCAAGCGTGAATCCTACAACGAGAAAGCCAAACACCAGTGTTGCCCACGCTTTGAGTACTGTGTTACCTCTTGTTGGAGCCAAGCACAACTCTGGGCTGGTCTCCAAATTGGTACAACAGCGGCAGGCTGCGAATGTGCTACAAGAAAAAACCTCCTTCAGGCTTCGCTTCACATTCGGGTCCAAGCCCTGGGGCGAATCAGACAAGGTTGCTCTAAATGAAAAGGTGCAAAAGCTGTGCTACTGGAACGATCGGCTTGAGCGAATCATACCAGGCACTATACGGTCTACATTGAGCAGCCAAGCTTTACCTGCACATATGCTCGCAGACGAGAACCAAAAGATATTGGACACACTCATAGAAGCTTCTCAAAATGATAAAGTGTCTGTGAGAACGCATGGAAAGTTGTGGCAGGAGCGACTAAAGTTTGAAAAGGGAGTTTCCATCAATGCGAGCGACTGGGAAAAGTATAGACGCACGAACTCGTCAATTGATGAAATTGAAGGGTTTGGGAAGAGTACTTGCTCAGTCACTCTCAAATTATTCAAAGACGGCCAAAAGCGTGAGTGGGACTTTGCATTTCACATGAAAAGACCAGCTTCTAATTCTGTAAATCTAGCACCATACATCTGTGTCGTCGAGTGGTACTCGTATGGAACGCTTGACTGGACCAACGACGACGTGCAAATCGCCACTAGCCGCATTGCAGGACTCGTGCACATGTCATCTCAACCCGAAATCCCGCAGAGTCTTAGGATTCTCAAGGGTCTTTGCTTTGTAGAAACATCCGACGCAGTTGGACTAGTCTGCAAAATTCCTGATGCCGCCAATCATTCAAAGCAGCCTGTGTCCCTAAGTTCTCTTATGCGAAAGGAAACTCAAGTCGCGACCGGCTTCAAGCGACCCAGCTTGGAGAGACGCCTTCAACTTGCCCAGGACCTCGCGAGCGCCATTTACTCCTTTGGCCTTATCCGTTGGTTTCACAAAGACTTCAACTCGCAAAACGTCGTGTTCTTCAGGGACAAGGCAGAACCTGCCGCGATCCTCTTCGACTCCCCCTACATCGCAGGCTTCTCTATTGCACGCCCAGATACTGCCGCGCAAAAGTCGCTAGACGTGAATCGTGAGGCACAAGCAATATACATGCATCCCGATCTTCGCAGAAGAGAACCCAATGACAGGCCGCGATATCACAGGAAATACGAAATGTATAGTCTGGGGCTAGTGCTGTGCGAGATTGCCATGTGGGCCACGATCGATCGCATGGCTTCAAGCATGTTGGAACCCGAAGCCTTCAAAAGCAAGATAACCAAGATCTGCGAAGAGGACATGGGATTCTTCGTGCCAAGAAGATATTGTGACCTTGTCGTGCGATGTCTCAAATGTGCAGATGATGCCGATGAGGCAGCAAGTTCTTTAGACACTCTGTACTGGTCTGTTGTGCTAGAACTTGCCAAATGCAGATATTGAGAATATGTGCCGCAGCTGTTGCCATGATAGTTCTCGTTCTGACTCATAGTACTCGCAGTTCTACAGGAGAAATGCAATTGACTATGGTCGTCAGACGAATGGACATTCGCCATTTCCAGTGTCACGAGAACTTTCATTCAATGCTCCTTGCTAGTGGCTCCAATTATGTACTGTATCAGTACGTTACCTCAATAGCCATTCGCAAATGTTTGATTTTGCGCAATCACTGATATTCTCACATTTCCTTAGTTAGATGATAGTTATTGCAAGTATAGTTGTTCCTTGGTAATTGAAGATGTAATAATTTCAGAATTGCCGACCTTCGGGGACAGGAAGACATGTTGGGCCCCCTGCATTGAGACAGTTTATGTGGATCGTGGGAGAAATGTGGGCAAGAGGCGCTGTAAAATGGTGGAAATTTAGCGATAACCTCGCTGGAAACGTGTCTTGCAGGGCTTAACGCCGTCCACAACGCCCTGAGTAGCCGCCTTGATTATGTCGAGATAGTTGGTGAACGCAACACCGGAAGGGGGTATAAGGAGTGTTAGGTTCGATTCCTAATGGCGCTAGTCACTGGGGTGTCCATGAAGTTATTCTTTTCTGAGATTTGCTGCGCCGTGCTTATGAAGCCGGTCGATCTCTATTCGCTTATAAAAGACTAGGTACCTATGTTTCGCTTGGAAAATTCCGCGGAATGTTATCGGCAAAATCATGATACAGATTGGAGGATGCACGGATTCAACGAGGAGCAAGGCTAGTCAGAAATTTATTAGATTGCACAAAACTTAATGCACCAAATTGTGTAAAACTTATGAATTGCTTTGAAAGGAGCGCGAACATGGCCGGGGTACCACAACTAAACACCAACACCTCCAGGTAATTGCGTGATGAGGCAATGTCTGATCACTTAATGGTTGCACCAAGTACGGTCGCATTCAAGTGCAAATTTGTATATATTGATTGTTAATTGTATTGCATTGGCAAAAGCATTCACGGAAGCCTAAGAAACTAAGTGAAATCGCCGAAACACAATCGGTGTTGGCCGTTTGATCGGATCCCTTGAAAGGGTCGTTATTACCCAAATGAATAAATGCAGGGAGGAAGAGAGTGGTGACAAAAGTCCAAAGATGCTTTGGGATACTCACGATATGGTCTGAGTAGGACTCCGTACTCTTAGTAAGGATAGAAATTACAACTAGTTTGCACGTGACATGTGTACTGCAATGAGAGAAAGAGTATTGGCTGTGTTACACGTGTGAGACACTTCCTGCTACTGCTACTTCAGTCAAACGACTAACTGCATAAAGAACGACAAGACATAAGGAAAACCCATGCATCCTCCCCGAAACACCTGTTCTCTGTCTCCTAGCTGAAAATGTCTATTTCGGAGGGCCACCCATCAATGAAGCATCCCCTAGAGTCCAGACAACGTTCAACGCCAACTTCGTAATCTTCCATACACCTGCTTCATCCTTGACAAGGTCAACGGAATACTCGCCGCCCACAGTATACTTTGGCCCGGTTGGATATCTACCCTTGCCGGGGGGAGCATGCTGTGCAAGTGATGTAGCAGTGAGAGTCGCAGTGTCGGCGCCATCCTCAAGATTCACGCGGACCATGCTGATGTTGTGCGTGGTATCCATAGGACCAACTTTATCGAAAACATGTGTGCGAATTAGGGAGAGGTTCGGGATGACTCTTTTGTTGTCGTCGTGAATTTCCATGACAACGTCTTCTCCGGCCCATGCAGAGTTGGGATCTCTAGCCTGTCCAAAGTGTGCATCGTGGGGTTTTCAGAGCATGCAGATGCCGATGTTGACTATACATTCGTCTCTTTGGGTGTGGATAATACTCACGTTGACTTCTCCAGTAACTGCGGGAATATGTCCGCAGCGGTCGGCCCCTTTGCGGTCGATTCGGGCATGTTGGCGATAACGGCGGCTTCTGCAACCAGTCAAGATCAAACTTCGGCCACCGTCCGCATCCGAAATACCAATACAAACAAAATCATCCACGCAAAATTCGCTGTCGTCGATGGCGAAGCTCAGGCTCATGGTGACTTTGCCATTGACGGCGTTGCCGGCTCTTCTGCGCCGGTCGAGCTACGTTTCATCGACCCGGCAGGCTCGCGAACGGGCAAGCTCTTCCCCACTGGAAATCTTGTCGACGTAATTGACTCGGTGCCGGTTACCTGTATCGATGCCGGAAACGGGCGCTGCTTTGTTGGGGCAGCAGCACTTGGAGTTGATGGTTCTATTAGCCCACAACAAATCGATGACCACCCGACATTGAAGGACCAATTAGAGTCTATTCGACGCCAAGCGGGTGTCAGAATGGGTCTTGCTTCAAGGGAAGATGAAGTTCCAGGCAGCGTACCGAAAATAAGCGTTGTCTCTGCTCCGACTGGTACATCTTTAGGACTCGCCAACGTTGTCGTCCGCGCTATGTCAGTTGGGCAGCCACACAAGGCTGTTCCCGTCACTGTCGCCCTCGCCCTTACTGCTGCTGCAAAGACTGATGGGACTATGGTATCAGCATGCTCGGTGCTGAGCGAGCGGGATAACCGTGAAACGGTGATCGCCCACGCGAGTGGAACACTGAAGGTAGCTGCTGTATTTGATACCGAAGGCAAACTCAGCTTTGCGACTGTTTTCCGAACGGCAAGAAGATTGATGGAGGGACGTGTATTTTGGAAGGGTGTCTGAGATTGTAAAGATAATTATGTGAGAAAAGGTAAAACTGCCTAGCTAAGACAAAGTAATGAATTCGAACAATTCCAGTCACACAACATACCTGTGATGCTTGACCATTCTTGTAACTAGCAATACTAGAACGTGAATCGATACGGCGTAGGTGTCAATATTGTAGACATAGTCAACCGTGGTGGCCGCATGCTGGAATGGGTCATGATTCAAACACCTCTTGTAGATTGAGGTCAAATGAATTCACTAGTGTGAATTCAATGTAAGATCTTTTAGATATTATAACCAATATCTGAAGAATGTATGAATCACCCAGCGCACATCAATATCCCGGCAGCCTTGACCAATATCCCAATACGCAATGGCTACAAACCTCCGCAATGTGCTTCAATGCGGGATTTGTGTTAGGTGCTAGGCACCACACTAAGGTTAGGTACTAGTACCTAATTTCCCCCGCAGTTACTCTAGCTCTCCGCCCTCTTTTGTATATCACTTTTGCTACGTTTGCCACAAATCAGATTGAGAGGATCATTAATGCCTGATTATTATTGGTCTCGTGGCCTGTAGGTAGATTACCTAGTCGACTCCATCTAAACCTTCGTTTCCCGTTATTTCCGTGAAGTCACTGCTACTTACCACCTAGGCACTGGCCTTACAGTTTGATATGATAGCTTGGCTTATGATAGGATCATGAACCTGCAAAATGATGTGTACTCCGATCAACGGTTTCATCTATCCTTCTTCTTCACATAAAGCACAATATGGCACATCAGCGATTCAAAGAAGCCATTGCTTCTTTGGCCATGTCCCCAAACCCAACCATACAAATAGTCGACCAAACACCAACCGCTATTCTTGGTACTATGCCACGGAAGAGACCGAGAGGGCCAGAGGTCTGAGTGATATACTTTGCAGTGGATAGCATCGTCATATTCGCTGGTCGCTTGGGGTCTTTGGTCATGGACTGCATTTCTACCCGCAAGACCTATAAGCAAAGGATCAGTATTCAATCATAAAAATATCGACGAAAGGTTCATGAAGAAGGGAAAGTTCATAGACTGGGGAGGAGTTTATAATGGAAATTCCAACCGTCAATATAGTCAACACAAATAATTTCACCAGTTTGCTTCGAAGTGATGCGAAAGAAAGTCTCACCTCGAAAGGCTGATTCCAGCAGCTAAGTGCGCCACCAATAGATGATGCCAGAATCTTTTCAGCAAAAGACGTCTTTTGACCCTTCTTCTTACCCCTCAATGCTCTGATCTTCTCCTCGCTGAATCTTGAGATGCCCATTCTGGAGGACCAGCCCGTGATTTGTCGAAGGGCAACGGCATTGACACCTCGATATATACCGCGAATGCCCTGTGTCTTAAGAATGTCTGCAAATATCGCCGTGGTGCTACGATCCAATACTCCAAGTTGCACGTTCTTTGAACGGGTAACTTCAATAGTTTTCATACATGTTGTGGAACCTGTTCTTTTTAGGTTGTGCACTGAGAAAGGAGGGAGGGAAAATAAAGAAGGGGGGGTTTGTTTAAAATAGGGGGCAGCGGGCGGAACGATTGAACTGAAGTGGATGTGTAGCTGTAGCATAGGGCTTACTCACCCATGGAACCGTAGGCTTGTGCCGCTCCTCCAGCAACACCTCCTATCACTCCACCAGCACCAGGGCTTGCGTTGAGGTACGTCTTGGAATAGTATTCAGCTTCAGCGGATGCCAATATCAGGGTAGAACCTTTGGTCGAGGCTTCTATCCAAGCCTATGAGTTTTCAAGCGCCAAGGTGTTAGTGGTGCAAAGGCTCTGAAAGTGGTGGTGTCATTTAGGTCGCAACACACCCAAGGGATCAATCCCTGATAAAATCCAGCTATGCCTCCTCGTGCCCATGTCTTTTGTATGGCCTCTCGAAGCGTATCGCTTCTATGAGCTGCAACCTACACACTGTGAATCAATATCATGACCAGTCTCAGTACTGTCTACGGAAAGGACATGTCAATAACTCACGTGGGTCTTTAGAACCTCGAAAGGTTGACCAAGCGACGATGCTGTGGAAATGTATCAGTGTCTACGCACTGACCAGCGATGGTGTTGCATTCTGCACACTTCGGTGCACGGCAACGATAGAATGCATCGACGAAACCCGGCTTACATTGAAAAATCTGTATCATGGCTCCAACAGCGAGGTTCGACCAGGGAGTCTGCCGCTTCGTGGGCACTCCCGGCAGTGGCGCGGACACTGGCTCAAGTTTCATTGACATTGTCATGATGAATAGCTGTGAATATTAGAGAATTTGAAGCAAAAGAAGGTGCTCGGCTTAGACTTTGTTGCAATTTGAATTGCGGTCACGAGATTATTCGTCGAGCCTGTCAAGGCAGCTTACGACAATTTACCGGGCCAACCCGACACATCCAATAACGGCCGTCATCCGGGAAGTTCCTGAATGTAATCCGCGGTGCTCGACTCAACAGCCACATTTGATTGTTCGCAAACTAGGATCACGACTGGACCGACCCGGAGTGGAATGGATCCAAGCGACGCCACTAGATAGTAGGTAGGTGGGGGTGAATAATCGGTGGGTAGTTTCGAAGGCGCACTATTATACTGGATCTCTCCGAGCTTTCGGCGCGATCCAGTGCAGCTAGCAAACTCCGGGACCTTCCCGAATATTGTTATTGAGCTTTTCTGCGGCTCAGTTCGTCCATTTGATGTGTAAGCAGGACTACTTACGGTCGCAACTCTCCTCGCTATGAACTATGTTTTTGCCGGCTGCGATCAATCTATTGCATACTTGATCGGAGCTTACCATCATATGAAAGATCCGCACAGACACGGCCACTTAGTCTGATCCGTCCGCATCCTTCCTCGTACGGTTATCTTTTTGGCTCCGTTTTTCTGTTTCTCATGCATTCAGGAGAAACATCAAAGCCTGGCGATGTTTACCTGTCGCCGTGCCGTGCCGTATAACACTTCCGCACGGAAGCTGTTTGGCGCCTCAGTCCTGAAAAGGTCTCACACCATAGCCTCTTTCTCAAGCGTTTCGCTTGATCGACGCGTAAGTTAGGAATCCTCAACCACATTTTAATCCTTCTAGGCGACTGGATGTGCATAATGATGTCGTACTGACGTAGTCAGTACCCACCGCAGATCACCTGCTTGGGTATATAGTCGCTCTTCAGCACCTCTCTTTTGTAGACTAGAGATCAACTCAGACAACTTTCAATGCTTCCTCGATCATCTCGTCTTCAGTTCCCCCTTCACACATCGGCTCAGGTGAGAAATGATTTGTCAAAAGCTATGGACAACTAACTTTGTATAATAAAAACGACAGGTCCGGCAGAACAACTGGGAGGATGACAGTTTTATTGAATATAAAAAGATGTCAGAGAATCTTCTCGTTGTACGCAGCCGTTTACATCGACCTTTGACCTACGCCGAAAAGGTTCTGTATTCACATTTGGACGATCCTTATAACCAGGATATAGAGCGAGGGACTTCCTATCTTCGCCTACGCCCTGACCGTGTCGCTTTCCAAGATGCTTCGGCTCAAATGGCTCTTTTGCAGTTCATGTCCTCAGGGCTCGAATCCACAGCTAAGCCTGTAACGATACATTGCGATCACTTGATTCAGGCTTCCGAAGGAGGCACGCAAGATCTCAGTCGCGCACACGCCGAGAATAAAGAAATTTATGATTTCCTTTCTTCCGCTTGTTCCAAATATGGTATCGGCTACTGGAAGCCTGGATCGGGCATTATTCACCAAATTCTTCTCGAAAACTACGCTTTCCCCGGCGGTCTACTTGTCGGCTCGGATTCACACACGACGAATGCCGGCGGACTTGGAATGGGAGCTGTCGGTGTAGGTGGTGCCGACGGTGTAGAGATCATGGCCGACCTGCCTTGGGAACTCAAAGCCCCAAGAATGATCGGCGTCAGGCTCATAGGTGAATTATCCGGTTGGACCTCGCCGAAGGACGTAATTCTCAAGGTTGCTGGTATCTTGACCTCCAAGGGAGGAACTGGCTCGATTATCGAATACTGTGGGCCGGGTGTTGAGAGCATTTCTGCCACTGGAATGGCAACAATATGTAACATGGGAGCAGAGATTGGAGCAACAACGTCCATATTCCCCTTCACCAACCGAATGTACGATTATCTAGCCGCTACACAACGACAATTTGTGGGTGAGTTTGCTCGAGCTTATGCTTCGAAACTGCGAGCCGATGAGGGCGCCGAATACGACCAAATGATTGAAATCAATCTATCAGAGCTCGAACCGCATATCAATGGCCCGTTCACTCCAGATCTAGCTACACCAATCTCCAAATTCGCCCAGGCTGTTGAAACCAACGAATGGCCCGACAAACTTCATGTCGGCTTGATCGGATCCTGCACGAACTCTTCATACGAGGATATGTCTCGTGCAGCTTCCATAGCTCGTGATGCCCTCGACCATGGCATCAAAGCAAAAGCAGCATTTACTATTACTCCAGGCTCTGAACAAATTCGATCTACTATGTTGCGTGACGGCCAGCTTCAAACGTTTGAAGAGTTCGGCGGAACGATTTTGGCAAACGCTTGTGGTCCCTGTATAGGCCAGTGGCGTCGTCAAGACACGAAGGATGGGGAACCGAACTCAATTATCTCTTCGTATAATCGAAACTTTTCAGGACGCAATGACGGTAACCACGCAACTCACTCCTTTGTGGCATCGCCTGACGTGGTGGTCGCCATGGCCATTGCCGGAACCTTGTCCTTTAATCCCCTTATCGACAAGCTCACAGACAAGGACGGTGATGAATTTGTCCTCAGGCCTCCAACGGATACCAATGGTTTGCCTGACTCAGGTTTTGAATTGGTTCACGATGTGTACCAAGGGCCTCCGGTCGACCGTAGATCAGTCGAAATACGGATCTCGCCCGGGTCGGAAAGATTGCAAGCTCTGACGCCTTTCGACGCATGGGATAAACGAGATGCAAAAGGTCTGCCAATCCTTATCAAGACCCAAGGAAAAACGACAACGGATCATATTTCCGCCGCTGGTCCTTGGCTGAAATATCGCGGGCATCTGGACAATATCTCGAATAATCTGCTAATTGGCGCTACGAGCGCAGCAAATGGTATGGTGAACAGAGTTTTCAATAGGTTCACTGGAGCTTGGGATGGCGTTCCTGAAGTTGCGCGTGACTACAAGGCTAGGGGTATTCGATGGGTAGTTGTTGGTGATTGGAATTACGGCGAGGGAAGTTCTCGGGAACATGCTGCCTTGGAGCCTCGACATCTTGGAGGTTTTGCTGTTGTTGCCAGGTCCTTCGCCCGGATTCATGAAGTTAACCTGAAAAAACAAGGAATTCTTCCATTGACATTTGCGGATCCATCTGATTATGACCGCGTCAAGCCTGATGACTTAGTAAGTATACACACTCAATAAAAGAAAAAGGAATCATCCGAATTAAGCTAATCGCAAATAGATTGATATTGGGTGCACACACTTGGAGGTTGGCAAACCAATTCCAATGACTGTTCATCCAAGCAATGGTGAAGCATTCATCATTAACCTCAGCCATACATTCAATGATTTGCAGATTGAATGGTTCAAGGACGGCAGCATGCTGAACACCCTGGCTAAACATTTCACAGCTCGTACATGAGATACATGCCAGTGAGGACTTAAGGGAGAGACGTTTGGAAAACTAGTGTTTGTGTGCCGTTGAATATCTCTGGAGCCATAGCATCATCTCCATCTGCATGAGCCATCATATAGCTTAGTATTCTGCTTATAAATAGGTAAGAAAGTTTACATTTGCCATTCTCGGCGTCTTTAAATACCTTTCGAAATCTCTTGTACAGCACAATTTAATCGCTGGAAACCCTTCGATATATTTTATAGCCGCCGAGGCCCCATAATGCTGTTCCCGTATATATATATCAGCTGGAGATGCATTCTTAATAGGCCGTTTCCTGTGGAGAAGGATTGATAATGATACTGCTCGCCGTTGGGTGTGTATTGGATGCGCGGCGGACGAGAGGACTTTTCATTGTTCAAAACGCCGTAGGTTCAAAAGATTATGGCCTACGAGTGTGGAAATGATCCGTTACACAATCCAATGCGCAACGAACTTAGTGATAATGAAATGAGATGAAGACTGTTGCCAGCTTACAGCAATATCTACTGCGAGACTACTGACTAGTATCTAAATAACCGTCAACAGCCTGGGTCCAACCTTGAGAATGCGCGCAGCAACCATACATAGAGCGGAAGCGATAAGCAGCGCGCCACACCACACAATCAATCCAGCCCAATTTTGACCCGCCCCCAGAATTGCCCCAGCGATCGGATTACTCACAAGCACCCCAAAGCCCAAAGCCCACAAAGGCCAGCGTCATTCCTATCCGAGTTCCGATCTTGATCTTATCGGCCAACAACGTTACGATGCTCGCAGCCGGCAGGCCCATAAAAGCCCCAGCGGAGAATCCGTAGAGGACGCTAAACACAATTATCGAAGGCGCCGTTTCAATGACCAACAAGCAAAATGTAAGGATAGCACTTAAAATGGCCACAATCCCTTGTACATTAACAGAACCAATCTTATCAGCATAGTACCCAGGAATGAGGCGCCCAGCTAGCGAGCTTCCGTTAACTATCACAAGGAAATATTTGGACAAAGTCGTTGAGGAGTCGGTTCGGTCAAGGGCGAATAGCTCTAGATAGTAAAAAACAATATAAAGACCCATAAAGCCGAAAAAAAGTCCGAGGTTAAGCAAAAGGTAAGGCGCGTCACGGAATGCCTGACGATCGATAAGGCTGTGATTGCGAAGCGGCTGAGGCTTGGATCGAGATTTCATTGCCATGACGGGAATCAGAGACGTTGCTAGGATGACAAAAGCTAAGGCTCTCGTGGCCCAGCCGAAACCAACCCGTGGCTCGAGTTGAGAGAATATAATGGGGTAAATGACACCACCTAGAGTATGTTAGTCTGGTTGATCTCTGTAGGACCGATAGAAAAGCAACACAAACCCAGTGCACTGCCTGTCGACGACGCGCCAATAGCAAGAGCCGCATGTCGGTGGAAGTACTGAGAGACGACTGCGGGCGCGGGAAGATACAAACATCCCAGCCCAAGTCCCATCAGGATGCCCTGCGTGAGCAGCACCTGATAATATTGACTCGTGATGCTCACAAGAAACGCACCAATGACCAGTGCAGCTGAGCCAGTCCACAAAAGAGACTTGAGGTGACCGGAGTCGAAAATTGGGCCAGCGACTATAGAGACTAGAAACAGTAGGAAGGCCTGCGTCGACCCGACCCACGCGATCTGGGAGGAGCTGTAGGAGCTCAGAAAGTCGAGCTGGTAAAAAGTTTGAAAAACTCCATAAGCATTCATCAAGCCCCTGAGCCGTCATGTTAGCAGCACTAAACATATTTTGGCGACATGCAAGGAATTGAAAACTTGCCATGTGTTCAAGTTCAGAACGAATGCACCTAGCGTTTGTAGCCAGGCAAACAGATCTTCCTTTGGGGCTTCTTCATGTGTCTGCTCGATGACTGGGACCTCTTCTAGGCCTCCAGCCGGCACAGACTCGCTAGGCTTTTCTGACATTGTAGTTTTCAATCCCTAGGAAGACTTGACCTTCAATCGATGACCGTCAACGTTTTCTGTGGGTGTGTGGTAACCAGTTCAAGGCCAGCAGTCGCAGCATGCGAGAGAAACATTCATTTGTGCTCATGCGACCCTGAAAGATTGATGCGCCGCTAAAAGTGGTTGGAGACCTTTTGGGCCTTGGCCGTCTGTGTCACACTGATACGTCCCGGTAGGGCTGTGGTTGCTTGCCGCAGCGCCCGCTACGGGACTGATTTGGCAAGGGTCGTAACATTACAGGGTTACACTGACAGCATCGGCGTAAAGGTTGTTGGTGTCTTATAATGCAGCATAACAGTAACACGTCACCCCAGCTTCTTACTTTGGAGAGATGTACGAGCTAACAGCAATTCTGCGTGGATCTTCCCGGAGAGTAAAGCCTGCCCTGTCGACCAGGCCAAATGTGTGGAAACACCAAAGCAAGCCCTGTGCGACGCACTGCCAAATCAGTGAACCTCCGTTATCCATAACGCTCATCATCACTCTTCGTAATCGGTTCGCTTGCATATTCCCTTCTATTCTTTCTTATCGACCCCAAACCCTCTAAGCGGTGCGTTATCTCATACAGCAGCAGTTTACCTGGTAATTCAACTTGTGCCATTGTCCAGTGGCCACAATATGCGACCGTCAGGACATGACTTGAACCGCTCAGTCAATGGCCCTGGGACCTCGTCCTCGTGGCGGAAACAGGCCGTGTTCTTGAGTGCCCATTCTTCAAGTTTGCTCCAGTTTTTACACATGCGAACCTATCCAGCGCCCGTTCCTACTGGGACCTGATCACCCGCCCATCGAGGTGTATCATCTGCATTGCAAATAACATCTTGCCGTAATTGGTCCAAGCAATGCAAAGCATGAGAATAGGCAATGTGGTTTGGCTGGCCAGTCTCCGTGTACATGATGTATCGATACAGAGTACGCTAGTCGCATTGTCAGTACCGTTGGCCGTAGTAAGCTGTTGCTTTGGAGACGCGATCAAATGCGAAACCATCGACGACGGAATATAGACCAAACAGTGCAAGTTGTGAAATCCTTGAAGCAAGTAGACACCCTTATCTTCATCCCATGGAAACCTCATGGCTTGTTTAAGCCCTTTTTCTTCAACGGAAGCGGTCGGCAAAGCAACAACCCCAGGGTCGCCACTGTATTCTTCCCAGAGTGCCCTGACCTCTGTGATGTTTTAGCCCGTATACTTCGTTGTTGGGTAGATCTGCATTGGGATATCACGGTTGATGCCCGCTGCCAATATCGGAAACGTTGGAACACGTACAATGGGTCCGGTGACCAACCATACCATAAAAGAGGTATGTTCTCTATCACAAGATGATAGTCTGATCTTGGAACCAAGAAAAATGTTTGTCGCTAGTGAAAGAATGAGGATTGAAACAATAATTGTCATTTGTTTAACTCCCAAGGTAAAGGTGCGCCGGCGACTATGTGGGAGCTCTGGAATATCCGACGTATTTGAGAGGCATCTTTCTGGAGAGTCTTCTCGAAGTGGCTCATACCCTCTAGATTTTGCCGCCATGGTATACGCTGGGTTGACAAGTAAAATTTTGGGAAAATGGGGAATGGAATGTTGAGAAATCCCGGAAGTAGAGGAGGTGCGCGCTGCCCCGCAGAGCGGACCAGGATTATATATTTGTCGTATCTGGCCAGCAGACTAAAATGTAAAGCTCTATATTAGTAGCTAGGCTAATGGTACGGATATGGTAGATGCGGCGCAATATATCAACTTAGATCGGGAAGACAATTGTGGTTTAATAGAATAGGAAGTAAAAAGTAGCAAGCCGGGGCCTTGAGTCTAGCCTTTCATTTGTACGACCCGATCTTGCGGCGACGCCTGCAACCCTAGCTGGCGTTGCCTGGTGTCTGGAAAATCTGGTGATACTAAGTATCCGGAGATCGAACCTATTTGGAAGTGGACAATGCGCAGCAGCGCTAGCCGGAGCTTATAACTATCCTATGATCTATCTGGCTATTGCGCTAGCAGACCAAAATATATGGCTCCATACTGGTAACTAGGCTCATAATGTGGATATAGCAGATATGGCGCAATACACCCCCCCAGATCGTGAAAATAATTGCGATCTAAAGGCTCTATATGCTGGTAGGCGGGCTCTGGACCTACGGAGAATTAGAAGTTCCCCTTTGGATCTGAGAGATCGGTTGTTTTAGTGGTTTATTTTAATATTCTGGTGATCGGTTGTTCTGATGATCTATTTTGTGATTTGTTCTGGTGTTCTGGGTTTTGGGTTTTGTATCGGATGGCCATTCTGGGGTTCGAACCTATGCCCTTTATTCTGGTAGTGTAAAACGACTTATACCTAGACTATGCGCAACAGCGCGAACCGGAGCTTATAACTGTCGTATCTGGCTATTGCGCCAGCAGACCAAAATATAAAGCTCCATACTAGTAGCTAGGCTAATAGAGTGGATATGGCAGATACGGCGCAATATATGTAGTGGCGATTATTATTGCCATCTAGATTCCCATGAAATAGGTTTCATTGTCGTCAAGTGTTTGAAGCCATAAACGAGCGTAATACAACCCTCCATGACAAGTGGCTCCGAGTTCAGATCTAAACGGATTCTGCATGTTGCTTTGCACGAAGCCTACTAATTTTGCAAGGAGCCTACCAACTGGCTTTCATACCAGTTTCATAATTGAGACATTTGCATAATAGACTGGTTCATCACAATCATCAAGACCGAAGAGTTGCTCCTGGGAAATTGCACACCTGTCGGCTGCAGAAACAAGCCAAATAACAATAACTCTACACCACTGCCGGTCATGGCGAGCAAGTGGGGGACATGGCTCAAAGTCGAGAGCTGAGGTCGAATCATCAATTTGGCGTTGCTGTTTTATAGTAGACGTGATCAAGTATTTAATTGTCCCTGATAGGATGACATGACATCTCGAATTGACTCTTAGTGTTGAAGATTGCTCGAAGTTATTTATGTCCGAGAAACTAGGCACTCGGGAGGTTTGGAATGTGAGCGATAGCTCCATC